ACTTGCCAGTTTACATGTAGACTATTACTGGAACCGTAACACGCTTTCAGACCGTCACAAATATCTAGATAATTACCCAGGTGGTTTGACGCTCCCATTTAGAGTTGAATATATCCATTGTTTAACTAGCTACAGCCTCGTGGCGCTGGGAGCAAGCTGCCCCGTACATTTTCGCTACACTTCACTAGTTACTAGTACTGTTTCGTGGCGCTGGCGTCTCTTTCTTCACTAGTTAAACAAGAGATTAACACCCGCAGAGCATGAAGGCAAGTGATGCACCGCTGAGTTGAGGCAACTGTGTGTGCGAGCACGGCCCCGGAGGTAAGTCTGCACCGTGTACCCCTTCCTCTTGCTCCCCACCCACCCCCATCCCTACCACACTCCCCGCCACCCCCTTCCCCCTACACTACACCCCCACACACCCCGCCACTCCCCACACTACACTCCACCCCCACACACCCCTACACACCCCGCCACCCCCACACACCCCTACACACCCCGCCACTCCCCCACGCTACAACTCCACCCCCACACACCCCGCCACCCCCACACACCCCGCCACTCCCCTACACTACACTCCACCCTCACACTATACCCAGCTTCGATTGCGTTATCCTCCTACCACATCATAGACAGGTCACATTGAAAATTTCGCCTTCGAGAGCGTGGCAAAAGTATTTCTCTCAGCACCTGTTAATGATGCGTGTGTTCGGCACATACCTGAATTTACCTGAGGGCCACTAACACACTAGTGGTCTCGAGGAGGGCAGGAAGCCGGCGACTTGTCAAAGATCCTCTCCATGATAAATTAGTGATGGAACACAGGGTATTATGGACATAAAACTCCCTTTATAAGTAGGTAGTTACTATTCGATAATTAATTATCCGCACACAGCTCGATCGGTGCTCCAAATTTTTTTTATGTAATTACTGTTTGGAAAACACGTTTGCACGCGCGCGCGCGCACACACCCCCAATTTAACACCTGGTGCCACGGCCTTGGAACGTACCAGATGGTCTAGGACGTACCAGATGGTCCAGGGAACGTACCAGATGGTCCAGGGAACGTACCAGATGGTCCAGGGAACGTACCAGATGGTCTAGGGACGTACCAGATGGTCTAGGGACGTACCAGATGGTCTAGGAACGTATCAGATGGTCTAGGAACGTATCAGATGGTCTAGGAACGTACCAGATGGTCTAGGGACGTACCAGATGGTCTAGGAACGTACCAGATGGTCTAGGGACGTACCAGATGGTCTAGGAACGTACCAGATGGTCTAGGGACGTACCAGATGGTCTAGGAACGTACCAGATGGTCTAGGAACGTACCAGATGGTCTAGGGAGGTACCAGATGGTCTAGGGACGTACCAGATGGTCTAGGAACGTACCAGATGGTCTAGGGAGGTACCAGATGGTCTAGGGACGTACCGGACGGTCTAGGGACGTACCGGACGGTCTAGGAACGCACCGGACGGTCTAGGAACGCACCGGACGGTCTAGGAACGCACCGGACGGTCTAGGAACGCACCGGACGGTCTAGGAACGCACCGGACGGTCTAGGAACGCACCGGACTGTCTAGGAACGCACCGGACGGCCTAGGAACGCACCGGACGGCCTAGGAACGCACCGGACGGCCTAGGAACGTACCGGACGGCCTAGGAACGTACCAGACGGCTTAGGAACGTACCAGACGTCCTAGGAACGTACCAGGCGTCCTAGAAACGTACCAGACGTCCTAGGAACGTACCAGACGTCCTAGGAACGTATCAGACGTCTTAGGAACGCACCAGACGTCCTAGGAACGTACCAGACGTCCTATAAACGTACCAGACGTCCTAGGAATGTACCAGATAGTCTAGGAACGTACCAGACGGCATATGAACGTACCGGACGACCTAGGAACGTGCCGGACGACCTAGGAACGTACTGGACGACCTAGGAACGTACCGGACGACCTAGGAACGTGCCTGTGGGAACCGACCTGTGAGATTTATATTTGTTTAATTTATATGAATTTATATTTACGTTAATTTATATACTTCGATAGCAATTTGTATAATGATAAGTGGACTGTATTTCTGCAATAATCTCATAATCTCACAAATCGATCCTCTACACATTAGGGGGGGTTTTATTAGTTTATATATATATGCAGCCAATCTAATTACAGTAATAGCTACATACATTGATGAGGTTCCTTCTCTTATAGTACAGCAGGTTAGTCCACCAGGTATAACTAGAGTGTAGACACCAAATTATCCTCTTTGAGGTAGCTTCTATCACCCAGTAACTGGTGCACATAATCTTGCATCCTCGTCTTGACCTGTCAAAAGTGCGCTAGCTGTGAAGCCAGATACCTATATATGACAAGTATATCAGAGAAAACAGTACATGGAACATGAAGACCTGGCTTAATTACCTTTAGTTTGAGGCTTCCATGTGATCTAACCGGGTCACCCTATATCCTGACATTAATGGCCATAAATGAATGATAAACGGGTTTCGGATAGACACTTAACTTGATTGTAGACATCGTGTTGGAGATGGTACCTTTGGTTTCCATAACACTACGTCCAAGTAAATTAACAGGAGCCGAATTTGCTCCCGTGTGAGCCTCTGGTCTAGTAAACAACAATGGCTGTTTAACACTCCATTCTATTGACGTTACTGGCCGACATTGTCCAGAATGATAGGAGCCGTACTCGCTCCACACGTCTCGGAGGTGACACAACAATGGCTGCCCTCTTCCTCCCTGACGCCTGGCCTACTTTGTCCAGATTTCAGAAAGTGATAGAAGGGTCACATTTACTCTACTTTAATATTGATAATTAAGTTAATTTATATAAGATGTTTTTATGATGGTAAAGTCCAAAGACTTATGTATTTAAGAATAATTCCCAGCAGAATAGCTGGTGAATTATAATAGTATGTGGTGATGATATCCCGTTTTCTATAGACGGTAATTCCACTACAAGTTACGTTTTCTATGGGTAACTTGTTTATACAACAGCTATTATCTGTATGATTATTAAATGGTGTCGGATTTTCCGACATAATTCCCCAGGGGGCTGCTCACGGGTCGAAGTCCTCTTTAGAACAGACGAACACCGATACTCCTCCTTCGAATTATTACATTAATTTGATGTTAGTAGTTAGTAATCACACATTTGTGCGTCTGTTCGTACAGGACGGATGTCCCGTACTAGAGTTGCAGGGGTTAGAAGTCTAATGCGATTTCATTTCCCTGTCAACTCTTGAAAGGCTAATATTCAAGCCTTATTACATATTATTTAACCCAGAAGACTGAATGTGATCAAGTACTACAGTCAAGTATGATTCAGGGACTGCAGTGAGATCAGTGACTTTAGATATAACTTGAAGTTTCTTCAGGTAACTGGTCACTGATATATAAACACTGAGGCCCATGGAATACATCTTGATTAAATAATAAATGTATCAAATCAGTCATCAAATTTATTGGGGTTTAATTTAGTTAATTGATTCAGAAGATTGAATAGCTCATCATTAAAGTAAAGTATGGTTCTGAGACTGCAGTGGGTTCAGTGACATTGGTCGCAGTGACTTGTAGCTGTTTTAGGCTACTGTTCACTGATTTGCCACTGAGGCCTCATGAACTCATCTTCAGCTTCAAATGATGATACTAACATCAACCTCTGTTACTATAGTCAGCTGTAATCTCCTTAGTATAATGCTACTGGAGAAATATAATCAGCTGACAAATTCAGATTCTATTGGTATTGTTTATCTGCAGGCATAGGTCTCCTCAGGCTTGATACTGGGCCTGAGAGTAATTTACCTCCTGCAGAGTTTAACATGGTTATACCCTGATATTTAGTAGGGCTACCGATGAATTGATGGTAGTAGTCTGTCCCCACAAGGACAGCTATTTGGCATTTGATTTGCTCAAATTTACCTGCAGCTGCTTGATAATAGCTTTCCAGGTCAGCATAATCAACTTGAGATTGTTGTGACAAATCTTCACATTTCTTGATCTGTCTTGTTAAGTGGCCTTTAAGACCTGCAAGGGTTCTTTTCATTCTCCCTGCATTATCCATACTGGCTCGTTGGTGAAGCCTTGTGGGGCTTGTACTTGGGCTGCTCATAATACTGAACAAGCACTGATGGTAGCCTAGGGTTAAATTCTGCACTCACTAGGCAATAATCCTACCTCTACTAGAGGTTAGCACTTAAAATTAATACACATTATATATATACAATCATACACACTAATGATTTGAGTGATAAACCAGTGTCATTGGAAGTACCTTTAGGTTAGCTCTTCTATATCACCCTAGGATGGAAGAGACACTAATTAATCACTCAAAGGTGTAATGATCATAAGTAAATTATTATATATACAACTCAACTCGAGTTGATAAAAATTACACCCAAAATAGGGTCTGGACCATTCATTAATGGTGTTAGGTTAATCAATATAGTACAACTGACTATGGTAATAATGGGACTAGGATGAACAATAATAGTTCAACTAGTCATATCCTACCCTGTTGTGGGTTGGCAATTAGTAAATATTATATTGAGAACACTAGTGCAGTATATATTAAATAATTCTCTATTTTGGAGAAATAATATACACAATTATTGATAATAGCCTCTTAATTAGCCTCTATGAAACTTCTAATATTATCTAGAAGTATTAAATATTATTAGTGACCTCGCGAAATAAAGTCCACAAAATTCGTAGATAATCTCTCGCGAAATGTAACACCACGAAATCCGTGAACAATATCGCGAAGACACAGTCACTAATTTGGCTGGATTCTATATTAGCGCTGTCATTTCACGAAATAACACGCCACCAAATCTCTGTGGGTGTGCATGAAACCGCTGATGAGGCAGATCTGAACTGAGGGAGGCTCCTGAGCTCCCTCGAGGCTACGCTTCCGTCTTTGACTGGCTGGCCTTTGTTTAAATAACACTGCACTAGTATATTTAATGAATCCACTGGATAACTGGTTCATCCGGTACTAAGATGACCAAATGTGGGTTCATAGGACCGAATATTCCGGTTCCGAAGGTCCAAATAATGTGGGAACCGACCTGTGAGATTTATATTTGTTTAATTTATATGAATTTATATTTACGTTAATTTATATACTTCGATAGCAATTTGTATAATGATAAGTGGACTGTATTTCTGCAATAATCTCATAATCTCACAAATCGATCCTCTACACATTAGGGGGGGTTTTATTAGTTTATATATATATGCAGCCAATCTAATTACAGTAATAGCTACATACATTGATGAGGTTCCTTCTCTTATAGTACAGCAGGTTAGTCCACCAGGTATAACTAGAGTGTAGACACCAAATTATCCTCTTTGAGGTAGCTTCTATCACCCAGTAACTGGTGCACATAATCTTGCATCCTCGTCTTGACCTGTCAAAAGTGCGCTAGCTGTGAAGCCAGATACCTATATATGACAAGTATATCAGAGAAAACAGTACATGGAACATGAAGACCTGGCTTAATTACCTTTAGTTTGAGGCTTCCATGTGATCTAACCGGGTCACCCTATATCCTGACATTAATGGCCATAAATGAATGATAAACGGGTTTCGGATAGACACTTAACTTGATTGTAGACATCGTGTTGGAGATGGTACCTTTGGTTTCCATAACACTACGTCCAAGTAAATTAACAGGAGCCGAATTTGCTCCCGTGTGAGCCTCTGGTCTAGTAAACAACAATGGCTGTTTAACACTCCATTCTATTGACGTTACTGGCCGACATTGTCCAGAATGATAGGAGCCGTACTCGCTCCACACGTCTCGGAGGTGACACAACAATGGCTGCCCTCTTCCTCCCTGACGCCTGGCCTACTTTGTCCAGATTTCAGAAAGTGATAGAAGGGTCACATTTACTCTACTTTAATATTGATAATTAAGTTAATTTATATAAGATGTTTTTATGATGGTAAAGTCCAAAGACTTATGTATTTAAGAATAATTCCCAGCAGAATAGCTGGTGAATTATAATAGTATGTGGTGATGATATCCCGTTTTCTATAGACGGTAATTCCACTACAAGTTACGTTTTCTATGGGTAACTTGTTTATACAACAGCTATTATCTGTATGATTATTAAATGGTGTCGGATTTTCAGGAACGTACCAGATGGTCTAGGGACGTACCAGATGGTCTAGGAACGTACCAGATGGTCTAGGGACGTACCAGATGGTCTAGGAACGTACCAGATGGTCTAGGGACGTACCAGATGGTCTAGGAACGTACCAGATGGTCTAGGAACGTACCAGATGGTCTAGGGAGGTACCAGATGGTCTAGGGACGTACCAGATGGTCTAGGAACGTACCAGATGGTCTAGGGAGGTACCAGATGGTCTAGGGACGTACCGGACGGTCTAGGGACGTACCGGACGGTCTAGGAACGCACCGGACGGTCTAGGAACGCACCGGACGGTCTAGGAACGCACCGGACGGTCTAGGAACGCACCGGACGGTCTAGGAACGCACCGGACGGTCTAGGAACGCACCGGACTGTCTAGGAACGCACCGGACGGCCTAGGAACGCACCGGACGGCCTAGGAACGCACCGGACGGCCTAGGAACGTACCGGACGGCCTAGGAACGTACCAGACGGCTTAGGAACGTACCAGACGTCCTAGGAACGTACCAGGCGTCCTAGAAACGTACCAGACGTCCTAGGAACGTACCAGACGTCCTAGGAACGTATCAGACGTCTTAGGAACGCACCAGACGTCCTAGGAACGTACCAGACGTCCTATAAACGTACCAGACGTCCTAGGAATGTACCAGATAGTCTAGGAACGTACCAGACGGCATATGAACGTACCGGACGACCTAGGAACGTGCCGGACGACCTAGGAACGTACTGGACGACCTAGGAACGTACCGGACGACCTAGGAACGTGCCGGACGGTCTTGGAATGATGAACGTACACTACAACCAGCCCCACGCCGACGCTACAAACATACACTCACTAAACAAACGACTTGAGGAAGGAGTTCGCTCCCGCTCAGCGAGGCAGCTTACCCTTAGCATCTCACTATAAACGCCGACCTTAATTAACCAAGCGCTGCAATAGGCATGTACATTTAACCGATGCTGTTCAAGTTGTGATAACAATCGCAGGTTGTTTGTAACGCTATTGTAGTAGTGTATTGATTGTAGTGTAATGCAGCAGTATTAGTAACCCCTGTGTCACTCGGTGATGCATTCTTAGCATTCATTAACCTCACTAATTAATAGATTTTAATAACACCTCTGTATGTTTGATGTCCGAGATTTAATAATTGAATAATTAAGTATTATTAAGCTGTTTTTTTGTATTATATTATTTTTACGATAGCTGTTTTGTACTCGGCTATATTTCATGTAGAATCATTTTGAAGTGTTCATATTATTTATATTTGATTAGTATAGTCTTTGCTTAGTCCTTAATTTTTTTGCCTTGTGGACAGCAAAACTTTTTCAATTATGGTCTCTGATGAAAGATACTTGCTATAGGGTTTACCAGTATCCCAGTAATAAACAAGATTTATCTGTGGTGTGACAAGGGTCAGACTGCACCACGGACCACTGTCAGGACGTGGGCGTGTGGGCGTGCAGCGGCGTCGAGTGGACCCGCGCCATCTTCCCAAACCTGCTGGGGCAGGGGCCCAGGGAGGCCGAACCCACGGCCTCTCAGTTCTGGCATCAGCTCCACACCATCAACTGCAGTCGCGAGTTTCGGTTCGTGGTGTGTGGGTTGCTGGCCCCGCCCTGCGCCCCCGGCCTCACCAAGCCGTTGCCTCCGTGCAGGGAGGTGTGCGATTCTGCGTTGAGATCTTGTCTCCAAATTATGGAAAAGTATTACCTCGAGTGGCCTAAGGACGCGTTCACCTGTCAAGATCTGCCCTACAGCCACCAGGAGCCCTGCCTCAGGTATCACCAGGGCCAGGTCGTTTTCCCTCCCGGGGTCAACACAGACTGCTCCCAAGAAGACTATAACTACGACAACTACGACTATGATGGCTACGAATCAGTCTCCACGCCACCCGGTCTCCACGAAGACTACCTCGCATCGGGCTCGGGAGATGGCCCTGACGCTGACCTGGGCTTCATTTCCTCGGGAGAACGTGAAACATACAACGAAATCTATGATTTGTTTGATATGCCTCAAGATATAAACATTACCACAATCACCCACACACCATCCACCACGCCAGCGCCGCCTATCACCACCCTAACATCGCCTACCACCTCCTCGACGCCACCTACCACCTCCATATCACCTACCACCTCCTCGACACCACTTACCACCTCCCCCACACCACCTACCACCTCCCCCACACCACTTACCACCTCCCCCACACCACTTACCACCTCCCCCACACCACACAGCACCACTACCCCGCCAGAGGCAGCAGCAACAGCCTCCCGGAGTCCCACCAGCTGGTCACCAAGCACTGCTAGGCCCACAGACACCTCCACCCCAAGGATCAGGTTTGCTCCCACCCCGACTCCCTCCATGGCCCTTCCCACGCGACTCCCAGCGACCTCCACTGACCATGGCACGAGTTACCTCCATGCCAACGAGATTATTAATGGTTAGTTGAACGAGATGCAGTCATCAGCTAACAGGAGTGGGTTATTTAATAATCGTAAGGTAGTTAGTGGTTTTGCTCACTATACAGCTCTTTCTTTTTTTAAGTATGAATCAACTCCAAATATCATTCTGTACACATTGTAGAACTGATTGATTTGTGTATGTTTACATATTTTTCCTTCCTCTCTTAACGACAGAAGAATTCAGTCTTCCTGGTCAGAAAGGCGAGAAAGGTGAAAGAGGACCCAAGGTGAGTACAGTGACCCATGATGAGTATTCTTAGATTCGTTTCATTCATAATCTTATTCTATACAAATCTAGTTTACTGTTGTGGATGTTCGGGTCAAGTGCATCTCCATAATATTTCGTTTATATATATATATAAATATATATATTGGGCAAAAATTCATATGAAATTTACAGTAATGAATCGCACGGATCAAAGAAGTGTTTGTGAAAGATGGTGTGTGTGTGTGTGTGTGTGTGTGTGTGTGTGTGTGTGTGTGTGTGTGTGTGTGTGTGTGTGTGTGTGTGTGTGTGTGTGTGTGAATCATCATCAGCAGGAATGATGATGATCATGATGATGATCATCATAAGACTCAGAATGAGCAGTGTGATCCAGATCACTATAGCGTGGCCAAGATCACTATAGCGTGGCCAAGATCACTATAGCGTGGCCAAGATCACTATAGCGTGACACAATCTACGATGAGTCCGTCACTCTCATAAATGAATGGGAAGGGGGAGGACAGCCTCTCTCCTGGCTGGGCTGCGAGAACTTCAATTACGCCTCACTTATAACATACTTCTTGTCTCCGAAGATGGTATACCATGCTAAATCAGGGTGAATCTGTTGCTCAAGTTGGGAAGGAGGGGAAAATTAATACCATTACTATGACCTAGGAGTCAAAACTGCGACCTCAAGTGATTACTTGTACAGGGGGGCACCGCTCCTGTGCCTGGTAAGTTACGGGCTCACCATAGCCCGTGCTACTTGGAACTTGTTCCGAGTACCTGATGCTATAACAACAACGATTACTTGTGGTGTGTGCTGGGCGCCGTATCTCGTAAGACAGAGTGATTGATTGATGTTTTATCCCCCCCCCCTTTTTTTAACAAACAACTTTTTCTTTTGATAAGCTTCCTATGAAACTTAAATATTACGTTACATTTTCTATATATATTATTGATTCATAGAAAATGTAAAAATATGCTTTTATAGATGGTATACTTATTTATTTTTATAATGTCAATTTTAATTCCTTGGCACTTTTATTTTGTAAATTCCCAGTACTGTACATATGCCCACCTAATTGTGCTTGCAGGAGTTGAGTTTCGGCTCTTTGGTCCCGCCTCTCAACTGTCAAACTAATAGTGCTGAGGCTATTGGGCTCTTATCATATCTATATATATATATACAATGGGTCCTGGTAGTACAATCGGGTTTGTTCTCGACGCACAATCGAGAATTCCGGGATCGAATCCCGGGTGGGACAAAAAATAGTTGGCAACATTTCCTTTCACCTAATGCCTCTGTTCATCTAGCAGTGACTATGTACTTAGGAATTAGTCATCTTGTGGTGGTTGCGTCCTGAGCGGGGTCAGTAATTCGGCCTCGAGGGGCGAGACCTCCATAAAAGTCAAACGTGTGTATGAATATACTCAGGCTTCCTGTCACCCGACACAATGAATTATTAATTAAATTATATTTGAAACTGTGTATGGAGTCTGCCTTGCAGTCATCGAGAGGATAAACCCTTCATGCAAACTGCAGGTATCATAAATAATTCAAATTCCAAATTCAAATGTTTATTCAGGTAAAGTACATATATACAAGGTGTGATATAAACATTGATGGATTTATAGATAGAGCTAGTACATACAATGCCTAAAGTCACCATTACGCAAAGCGTTTCAGGCAGGAAAAACACTACCCTGGAAACACAAACCGAAACTGTCTCTATTTTCCGCTTGTTACAACTTGTAATAAAGTTGTGACATCTTGGCTTAATGTGTTTATGACGTATTAGAAGGTTGCTACAACTTGCTATATTGGTTGTTATAACTGGTTAGGAGGTGTTAAAAACTTGTTCGAACGTTGTACCAACGTCGTAGTTTCGGTGTGTGTTTGTCGGGTAAAGACTAAAACTTAATACTAATTGAGATTAAAGTATAAATTGTGCTGAGAAAATAAAAAAGGGGGGAACATGGCAGAAAAATAGCAAATGTACAATTAGTCGACAAACAGCATTGTTTAAAATAGCAGACATGGGTTGACATTTTAGGGGTAAGGTAGGTTACAGGGAGTTTAATTAGGTAGTACTTAGTTTTTATCTTAAACGGGTTGGGAGAGGTACAGTCTTTTAACATGATTGGGAAGGTCATTCCACATTCTGGGTCCCTTGATTTGTAGAGCATTTCTAGTTTGATTAAGTCGTACTCTTGGAATATCAAATAGATATTTGTTTCTGGTGTGGTGCTCATGGGTTCTGTTACAACCTTCTAGGAAGCTTTTGAGGTCAGGATTGACATTACAGTTCAGCCTTTTATATATATATATATATATATATATATATATATATATATATATATATATATATATATATATATAGATTCAGATGTTTATTCAGGTAAGGTATATACATACAAGTGATGTTACATTAATGGATTGATATATAGATAGAGCTAGTACATACAATGCCTAAAGCCACTATTACGCAATGCGTTTCGGGCAAGAAAAACATTAATATCTAGAACTTAATACTAATTGAGCATAAAGATTAAAAGGTGTTGAGAACAAATACAAATAAAGATAAAAAAAAAGGGGGAACATGACTGAAAAAAGCAGCACAAATACAATAGGTTGACAAACAGTGTTGATTAAAGGAGTGAGGTAGATTACAGGGAATTTATTAGGTAGTGTTTAGTTTTTATCTTAAACTGGTTGAGAGAGGAACAGTCTTTAACATGGTTGGGAAGGTCATTCCACATTCTGGGCCCCTTGATTTGCAGAGCATTTCTAGTTTGATTAAGACGTACTCTAGGAATATCAAAGCTGTATTTATTTCTGGTGTGGTGCTCATGGGTTCTGTTACAACCTTCTATGAAGCTTTTAAGATCAGGATTGGCATTATGGTTTAGCGTTTTATATATGTATAATACACATGAGAGAATGTGCAGTGACTTAATATCTAACATATTAAGAGATTTGAGTAGGGGTACCGAGTGATGTCTGGGGCCAGAGTTGGATATTGTCCTAATAGCGGCTTTGTGTTGGGTAATTAGAGGACGTAAGTGATTTTGGGTAGTAGAACCCCAAGCACAAATACCATAGTTGAGATAAGGATAGATAAGGGAGTAATAGAGAGTCACCAGGGCAGGGCGTGGTACATAATATCTGATCTTAGAAAGAATGCCCACAGTTTTAGAGACTTTTTTTGATATATTTAGAATGTGTCCCTGGAAATTCAGCTTGTGGTCAATGAGAATGCCAAGGAATTTGCCATCTAATTTGTTACAAATTTGGGTATTGTTTATTTTGAGATTTATAAGACTAGAGGATTTATTGCCAAACAGAATATAGAAGGTTTTGTCAATGTTAAGGGTGAGTTTGTTGGCAGTTAGCCAAAGATGGACTTTATTTAGCTCAGTATTTACTGTGGCATTTAGAGCAAGAGGGTCAGGACTGGAGTAAATGAAGGTTGTGTCGTCAGCAAATAGAATTGGTTTGAGGTGTTGGGAGGCATTTGAAAGGTCATTAATGTAGATGAGAAAGAGGAGAGGGCCAAGTATGCTGCCCTGAGGAACACCAATGTTGATGGGTAGGGTGGGAGAAATTGTATTATTCACAGAAACATATTGGAGCCTGTCAGTAAGGTAGGACTCGAGGTATTGTAGGGAGTGTCCTCTGACTCCATAATGATGTAATTTAAGAAGAAGGTTATGGTGGTTGACAGTATCAAAAGCTTTACGCAGGTCCACAAATAACCCAACCGGGAACTCCTTTTTATCAAGAGCTGTATGAATCGAGTTAAGCATACTAATAAGTGCATCATTAGTGCTTTTTTTGGGTCTGAAGCCATATTGGCAAGGGCTAAGTATATATATATATATATATATATATATATATATATATATATATATATATATATATATATATATATATATATATATATATATAAATACACATGAGAGGATGTGCAGTGACTTAATATCTAACATATTCAGAGATTTGAGTAGGGGTACCGAGTGATGTCTGGGGCCAGAATTAGATATTGTTCTAATAGCAGCTTTGTGTTGAGTAATTAGAGGACGTAAATAATTTTGGGTAGTAGAACCCCAAGCACAAATACCATAGTTGAGATAAGGATAGATGAGAGAATATTAGAGCGTCACCAGGGCAGGGCGGGGTACATAATATCTGATCTTAGAAAGAATGCCAACAGTTTTTGAAACTTTTTTTTATATATTTAGAATGTGTCCCTGGAAATTCAGCTTGCGGTCAGTGAGAACGCCAAGGAATTTGCCATCTACTTTGTTACAAATTTGGGTATTGTTAATCCTGAGATTTATTTGATTTGAGGATTTATTGCCAAACAAAATATAGAAAGTTTTGTCAATATTGAGGGTGAGTTTGTTACCTTACCTTACCCTGAGGTGCTTCCGGGGCTTAGCGTCCCCGTGGCCCGGTCGTCGACCAGGCCTCCTGGTTGCTGGACTGATCAACCAGGCTGTTGGACGCGGCTACTCGCAGCCTGACGTATGAGTCACAGCCTGGTTGATCAGGTATCCTTTGGAGGGATATTGATTGTTGGCAGTTAGCCAGTGATGGACTTTATTTAGCTCAGTATTCACTGTGACATTTAGAGCAAGGGGGTCAGGACTGGAGTAAATGAAGGTCTGTCGTCAGCAAATAGAATTGGTTTGAGATGTTGGGAGGCATTTGTGAGGTCATTAATGTAGATGAGAAAGAGAAGTGGGCCAAGTATGCTGCCCTGGGGAACACCAATGTTGATGGGTGTTTTAGAGACAATGAACTATTAAATGTATGTACTAGACATGATTAAAAAAATAGGTCAGTAGGGTCAGTACTGTATACAACACAATGGACGGTTAGAATGGTGGGGTCCTAGAGCTAACGGCTCGATCCCGCAGGCTCAAATAGTAAGTACAGTAGTAGATATAAATGCAAGTGTTCAAATATGCACACAAATATAACACAACACAATCACACTAATTCTATGCCATATATATTGGAATGGAATGACCTTCCCAACCATGTTAAAGACTGTACCTCTCTCAACCAGTTTAAGTTAAAAGCGAAGCTATACCTAATAAATTCCCTGTAACCTACCTTACCCTTCTATTGTCAACCAATGTCTGTTTTTTTCTTTAAAGAGCGCTGTTTGTCGACATAATTGTATTTGTGCTGCTTTTTCATCTATGTTTTCATTTCTTGTTTTCATTCTACTCATTATGCTCAATTAGTATAAAGCTTGTCATTTAAGTTTATCATGCCCGAAACGCTTTGCGTAATAGTGGCTTTAGGCATTGTATGTACTAGCTATACCTATAAGTTAAACAATCCTTGTAAATATTTATTGTATGTATGTACCTTACCTAAATAAAATTGTATTGTATTGTATTGTGTTGTTGTTGTTGTATATATATATATATATATATATATATATATATATATATATATATATATATATATATATATATATATATATATATATATATATATATATATATATATATACTGTATATATATATATATATATATATATATATATATATATATATATATATATATATATATATATATATATATATATATATATAAATATAATGATGCAACAGATGGCGATCATTGGGTCATGCCAGTAACTAAAAGATGGATTGTGCAGACAGCCCTCACCCTTGGCAAGAGAGGGGGACCTTAATTACCCTACAAATAGCTTTTCCATGCCAAAAGTATACCATAATCAAACAAGCATTTTTAATGAAAAAAAAATATCTTCTGCACAGTATCAAATGAATCTAATATCTAACAAGCATTATAATAACAAATTATTCTCAACAGGGTCCTCCTGGTGAGTCTGTGGCAGGCCCACCAGGCCCACCAGGACCCCCAGGTCTTCCGGGACCACCTGCCTCTTTCCCTCACAAGAGCTTAACTCAAAGTGTACCAGACTTGGGGTCAGGTGCTGGCGAGGACTTCATCGTAAGTACTGTACTGCATCTTATAAATAATACAGCCCATTCTCATGATGTGATAAATGAATGATATTAATACTTTTCCTGTACTCCAAATGTATGGAGCTACACCAACCCACCTAAAGGTCCCAGACTATCATTACTGTACTGTTCTGTGTGATAATTAATAATAAATAATAATATTAATACTCAATCAAATAAACCAAATAATTTTAATTTTGTTTATTGACATCCATGAACATAACTGTTTCCTTTCAACATTTTGGAGAAATGTTGAAAGGGGTATTTCAGTTCTCTTATTGCTTTAATTTTAAAGGGATTAGATGGAGCTAACTCAAGTTTCAAAATTTAACTTTTTCTACATGTGTTGGAGTCTGTATACCGTATTGTGAGAGATATATCATTTGCACAAGGATAAAATAGTAATTTATTACCTTCTTGCTTCAGCCTGAGCCAGATTTCAGCAGCGGGCGTCGGGGTCCTCCTGGTCCTCGCGGTGAATGCTTTTGCAATGAGACACGCCTGCTGGCTTCTGTCATAGCCCAGGTAAGTAACCATAACTACTTGCTGGGAAAATAGTCATTCCAAACTTATGGTTAGGTAGGATGTGCACCAAACTGCTGTTGTATAAACAGTGTGACATTCCTCTTAAGTGTAAGGGTATGAAACGTAACACTTTAGTCATAATATTTTTGCTTACTGTTAGATACCGCGAGGGCTACCAGGGCCTGAGGGGAAACCAGGTCGAGATGGTGTATCGGGGATCCCAGGAACACCAGGTCGGCCAGGCCCACCAGGAGAGCGAGGTGCCCCAGGGGAGAAGGGAGACAAGGGTGACAGAGGTCACCATGGCAGCCGTGGTGAGTATTGTACAAGTTGATACTGAATGAGATTTTATTTGAATAAAATACTGTTAAAGATCTGTGATGTAAATAGTTTTGCTAATGTTCTGCATTTGAAAGCTTTACATTCCTTCATATAGGTATACAGTAGTCTGAAAATAACCTGTAAGTCTTGTTGAAAACCATTTTAAGATTTTCCTGTACATAAATCTGGCAGAATCATTTTTCCTATCAGTCATCAGAGAACCTCTTCCATTGACTATAATATTAAGGTTTTATTTCTGCCATATTATAGGTCCTGAAGGGGTGCAGGGAGCTAAGGGCGAATCTGGCATTGATGGAGCCCCAGGCCTTCAAGGAGAACGGGGGCCGCAGGGCCCTCCTGGACAGCCTGGCTGGGGCAATTCCGGCTATGATGTAAGATCACCTGTATACTGTATATTGTGCTTTTTTGCAACTGGGTTGTATCTATGAAATCGCTGAATACTCATTAAAAACAACATTGATGATGCTGTATATGTTTGTCATCAAATATACGTGTGCTATGCTGGATTCTAGATTTCATGCATGTAGTGCTACTGCCCAACCTTCCACTGATGCACCAGACCTAAGCATAACTTAGTGATGTAGACTAAAACACTGAAACACTTCATCTCAAATCCCAAAGATGTGGGTCCAAATCCTTGCCATTGGTACGTATATTTGAGTGCATGCAAAAATCCCTCTCACAAGTACTTTATTCTGATGGGGTGACTAATCAGAAGACACCCATCTACATAATGTATATACATATAAATATATATTTATATATATTTCACTGGTGGACCAAGTTGCAGAGCGATACACACACCCCTTAGTGATAACTGTTTTCCAATATATTCCCACAACTTGTGATGTCTACCATGATTCCTTCTTCCCTGATGCAGCCATTGTGGAAGCCTCGGTCCATGTTCAAGGTAAAACAAAGACATTGTGAAGTTCTGGATACTGTACATGTGTGACCATTGCACTAGCCTCTAATTTTCCCAAGATATTATTACCTGAATATCTCAATTATTTGGGCCAATTATTTTGATGCATTACTTACATTGATCTTATTTTGTAATTTTAAATATAAAAACTTTTCTGTCATATTATTAGTGTAGTATTATCGTCTAATAATAATATTATAACCCATTCTCCTATTAAAACAGTACAAACAATAGAGAACATGTACAAAACATGAACTTTTGCATTCACAGTATTTGTGCTGCTTTTTCATCTATGTTTTCATTTCTTGTTTTCATTCTACTCATTATGCTCAATTAGTATAAAGCTTGTCATTTAAGTTTATCATGCCCGAAACGCTTTGCGTAATAGTGGCTTTAGGCATTGTATGTACTAGCTATACCTATAAGTTAAACAATCCTTGTAAATATTTATTGTATGTATGTACCTTACCTAAATAAAATTGTATTGTATTGTATTGTGTTGTTGTTGTTGTATATATATATATATATATATATATATATATATATATATATATATATATATATATATATATATATATATATATATATATATATATATATATATATATGTATATATATATATATATATATATATATATATATATATATATATATATATATATATATATATATATATATATATATATATATATATATAATGATGCAACAGATGGCGATCATTGGGTCATGCCAGTAACTAAAAGATGGATTGTGCAGACAGCCCTCACCCTTGGCAAGAGAGGGGGACCTTAATTACCCTACAAATAGCTTTTCCATGCCAAAAGTATACCATAATCAAACAAGCATTTTTAATGAAAAAAAAATATCTTCTGCACAGTATCAAATGAATCTAATATCTAACAAGCATTATAATAACAAATTATTCTCAACAGGGTCCTCCTGGTGAGTCTGTGGCAGGCCCACCAGGCCCACCAGGACCCCCAGGTCTTCCGGGACCACCTGCCTCTTTCCCTCACAAGAGCTTAACTCAAAGTGTACCAGACTTGGGGTCAGGTGCTGGCGAGGACTTCATCGTAAGTACTGTACTGCATCTTATAAATAATACAGCCCATTCTCATGATGTGATAAATGAATGATATTAATACTTTTCCTGTACTCCAAATGTATGGAGCTACACCAACCCACCTAAAGGTCCCAGACTATCATTACTGTACTGTTCTGTGTGATAATTAATAATAAATAATAATATTAATACTCAATCAAATAAACCAAATAATTTTAATTTTGTTTATTGACATCCATGAACATAACTGTTTCCTTTCAACATTTTGGAGAAATGTTGAAAGGGGTATTTCAGTTCTCTTATTGCTTTAATTTTAAAGGGATTAGATGGAGCTAACTCAAGTTTCAAAATTTAACTTTTTCTACATGTGTTGGAGTCTGTATACCGTATTGTGAGAGATATATCATTTGCACAAGGATAAAATAGTAATTTATTACCTTCTTGCTTCAGCCTGAGCCAGATTTCAGCAGCGGGCGTCGGGGTCCTCCTGGTCCTCGCGGTGAATGCTTTTGCAATGAGACACGCCTGCTGGCTTCTGTCATAGCCCAGGTAAGTAACCATAACTACTTGCTGGGAAAATAGTCATTCCAAACTTATGGTTAGGTAGGATGTGCACCAAACTGCTGTTGTATAAACAGTGTGACATTCCTCTTAAGTGTAAGGGTATGAAACGTAACACTTTAGTCATAATATTTTTGCTTACTGTTAGATACCGCGAGGGCTACCAGGGCCTGAGGGGAAACCAGGTCGAGATGGTGTATCGGGGATCCCAGGAACACCAGGTCGGCCAGGCCCACCAGGAGAGCGAGGTGCCCCAGGGGAGAAGGGAGACAAGGGTGACAGAGGTCACCATGGCAGCCGTGGTGAGTATTGTACAAGTTGATACTGAATGAGATTTTATTTGAATAAAATACTGTTAAAGATCTGTGATGTAAATAGTTTTGCTAATGTTCTGCATTTGAAAGCTTTACATTCCTTCATATAGGTATACAGTAGTCTGAAAATAACCTGTAAGTCTTGTTGAAAACCATTTTAAGATTTTCCTGTACATAAATCTGGCAGAATCATTTTTCCTATCAGTCATCAGAGAACCTCTTCCATTGACTATAATATTAAGGTTTTATTTCTGCCATATTATAGGTCCTGAAGGGGTGCAGGGAGCTAAGGGCGAATCTGGCATTGATGGAGCCCCAGGCCTTCAAGGAGAACGGGGGCCGCAGGGCCCTCCTGGACAGCCTGGCTGGGGCAATTCCGGCTATGATGTAAGATCACCTGTATACTGTATATTGTGCTTTTTTGCAACTGGGTTGTATCTATGAAATCGCTGAATACTCATTAAAAACAACATTGATGATGCTGTATATGTTTGTCATCAAATATACGTGTGCTATGCTGGATTCTAGATTTCATGCATGTAGTGCTACTGCCCAACCTTCCACTGATGCACCAGACCTAAGCATAACTTAGTGATGTAGACTAAAACACTGAAACACTTCATCTCAAATCCCAAAGATGTGGGTCCAAATCCTTGCCATTGGTACGTATATTTGAGTGCATGCAAAAATCCCTCTCACAAGTACTTTATTCTGATGGGGTGACTAATCAGAAGACACCCATCTACATAATGTATATACATATAAATATATATTTATATATATTTCACTGGTGGACCAAGTTGCAGAGCGATACACACACCCCTTAGTGATAACTGTTTTCCAATATATTCCCACAACTTGTGATGTCTACCATGATTCCTTCTTCCCTGATGCAGCCATTGTGGAAGCCTCGGTCCATGTTCAAGGTAAAACAAAGACATTGTGAAGTTCTGGATACTGTACATGTGTGACCATTGCACTAGCCTCTAATTTTCCCAAGATATTATTACCTGAATATCTCAATTATTTGGGCCAATTATTTTGATGCATTACTTACATTGATCTTATTTTGTAATTTTAAATATAAAAACTTTTCTGTCATATTATTAGTGTAGTATTATCGTCTAATAATAATATTATAACCCATTCTCCTATTAAAACAGTACAAACAATAGAGAACATGTACAAAACATGAACTTTTGCATTCACAGTTTCACACTTTATCCAGTTTTTAACAGGAGGACAGGTTTTAATAATAGCAATACAGTATTGTAATAATAATAAAAATTTTAATAATAATATTAATTATTATTATTATTGCTATTATTATTATTAATGTATTATTATATTGCTGTACAGTATTTGTATTATAATTTTATTATCCAGTAATTTTTATTTTTATGATTTTATTATAATTACCGTTTTATTACTCTACTGCATTTGTATTATAATTTGTATTTTTAGTAGACCACTACAGTACTACTACTACTACTACTAATAATAATAATAATTTATTTATAATATTTAATTCAAATATAAAACAAAGTTGTGAAGAACTTCGAATTCCAGGTTTTATAAACGATAACATTTGTCATGTTCCAGTTAGTGTATATTCAAGTACATCACTAACTTAACAAATCTTATCAGTTTGTATGGTTTATTTTCCTAGTGTTTTATTTCATTGTCTTGGACTTATTGAAAAGATGCTGGATTTGTTAATGTTTTAAGTGTGTCTACAGAAGTATGATCTACTTCTGAATTTACTCTAAACATGTATTGCTAGATAATTTATTCATTTTATTTTTGAATAAATTACTTATTCTACTTATTTGTTAGTTTGTGCATTGATCAATTTAATGTAGCATTGTTTTAATACAACTCTAGATCACTCCACACTTGTCCACAGGTTGATGGTGGCTTAGCAGTGGCCCCAGCCCGGCCGGGGTCTCCAGGATCCCCAGGAGAGAAGGGCGAACCTGGAGCAGCTGGAAGCAGGGGGCCCCGAGGATATGCTGGAACCAAAGGAGAGAAGGGCAACCCTGGCAGTGACGGGGATAAGGGAGAACGGGTTAGCTTGTTTTGTACAGTATTTGAGTAATGCAGGATCTTTCTCTCTCTGGTTGGTTAATTTGTTATAGAACTTATCTTTATATTTTGTTAAGACTTTCAACACTTATCTACAAATATTAAATGAATAGTTCCTTATGAAACTTGGCAGTATAGCTGCCTAGTGGTCATTTTTATAATACAGTACCTTAAATTGTGACGAGTAAATGTATCTGCACCCAGCCTCCTGTTCATTTTCCATTTTATCAGAGATATCGTGGCATAGTCATTTAGAGCGTGTATCTGGGAATACCCAATGCATAGGTTTGAATCCTCATCACAGCTCCTGAGGATTTTCTCAATAATAATAATAATAATTCCTCCTAATAAGAAATAAAAAATAAGTTCTTCCTTTGCCCGAAACGCTATGCATGCTAGTGGCTTTACAAGAATGTAAAATCAACATCATTTCTATGTACTCTCTTAACCCCCAGTATCTTCTTGTATATAAATAAATACCTAAATAAATAAATATAAATAAATAAATAAATAAATTGAATTCATAAAAATGTTTACGCAAAGAACATAAGAGGAAAGGATCATTGTAGGGACAGGAGTTACGCATAGAAATGAAGCCAATAATATGCAAAGCGTATTAAACTATTGTAGTTTTGACTCAAATGCACGCTTTTCTTCTAAGTGAACTAGATACTTTTTCACACGTCTAGATGGAAAAAAGAAAATCATGATTCTGGGTACAATTACAGTCCAAACAGTAAATGAAATTTTAACAGACATTTTTGTGTTCAATCTTTCAGGGATCTAATGGGAGGCAAGGACTACCAGGCCCCAAGGGTGAGCCAGGAGCCTCTGGTATGAACGGTGCCCCAGGGCCCCCAGGGTTCATGTCTAGTCCAGGAGCCAAGGGTGAGAAAGGTAAGATGTACAGAAGTAGATAATGGACAGTGGAAGATACTGATAACTCTCTCCATTCTCTTTTAAAGGTATAATATCTGTTTGTTTACCTTAATTTTCCTGAGGGCCACCAGAGGGCTATGTCCTTCTGAAGATAAGATCTCTGCGTTTGTATAAAGTAGTCCAAATGGGAGCACACCAGAGATTTGAACAGTTAAATAACTCTTTGAAGTCAAAGGTTTGTTTGACTTCACAAAGAAAACCTTCAAACCCCCCAATTTTTTTTTTACTGCAGCTTCCACTTGCTCTGCAACTTTCAATTGCTTATTGATGTTTTGAGTTGTGATTAACCTTGTTGATTTGAGAGTTGTGAGGTGCATTGTTATGCCCCACATGCAAGGTCTTACATTTTTTATATTAAGAAGCATTTGCCAGTCTCCTGACCATTTGTCAGTTCATATACTGTGTACTCATTTCACCTATTTGAGTTCATTACACTACTTATTTGTGTCCTGAGATATAGTAGCCTGGACATACTATTCTTGACAGTGATAGTAATAGATTTGTAGTAAACAAGTTATAAAAGTAACACACAGAGTTTGTGTGTCTGTTAGCGAGACAACTCTAGAATGGATGAAGATTTTTTGGAAAATTTTTGGTGAAATTTGGTGGGTAAATTGGGATGGCCAATGATAACTAACAACTTAAGTGTTTTGAAAGCCATAAATTTACAAGCACAGCTGTTTGCCTTGTATGCTAATGTTTGGATATTAGGCAGGCATAGTGGGTGGAGAATGCATTCTGATTTTGTTTTTAATTATATGTAAAACATTCTGTATAATAATATTCTTTACAATGTTAGATTACAATGAAGTTTAAGGGTGGTTCATGTGTGTGTTACAGGTGAGCGTGGGGTGCCGGGAATGGGTCTTCCTGGTCCTCCTGGACCACCGGGAGGACTCTCAGAAAAGGACCGCAGGATCATCCTACAACAGGTAAGTGTGTGTAATTACCTAAGTGTAGTTACAGGATGTGAGCTACGCTCGTGGTGTCCTGTCTTCCCAGCACTCTTTGTCCTATAACGCTTTGAAAATACCGACGGTCTTGGCCTCCACCACCTTCTCACCTAACTTGTTCCAACGTCTACCACTCTGTTTGCGAAAGTGAATTTTCTTATATTTCTTCGGCAGGTTTGTTTACTTACTTTAAAGCTATGAACTCTTGTTCTTGAAGTTCCAGTTCTCGGGAATTCTTCCCTCTCAACTTTATAGATTCCCATTACTATTTTGTGCATAGTGATCATATTACCTCTTTTCCTTCTATCTTCTGCTTTGGGCATATTTATTGTCTCTAACCTCTCCTCATAGCTCTTGTCCTTCAGTTCTGGGAGCCACTTAGTGGCACCTTTTCCAGTTTGTTGATGTGTTTCTTAAGATATGGGCACCATACAACCACTACATATTCTAGCTTTGGTCTAACAAAAGTCGTGAAGAATTTCTTTAGTATTTAGCCGTCCATGTATTTAAAGCAATTCTGAAGTTAGAAAGTGTAGCATAGGCTCCTCGCACAATGTTCTTTATGTGGTCCTCAGGTGATAATTTTCTATCTAGAACCACCCCTAGATCTCTTTCTTTATCAAAATTCTTTAAAGATTTCTCACATAATTTATAGATTATGTGGGGTCTATGTTCTCCTATTCTACATAACATAACATGGCATTTATTCACATTAAATTCCATTTGCCAAGTGGTGCGCCATACACTTATTTTGTCCAGGTCTTCTTGAAGGGCATGACAATCATCTATCTAAGTTTTTTATCTTCCCTATTATTGTAGCATCATCAGCAAACATGCTCATATAATTCTGTATTTCATCTGGTTGATCATTTATGTAGACAATAAACATTACTGGTGCAAGAACTGAACCCTTTGGTACTTCACTTGTGACATTTCTCCAATCCGATACATTGCCTCTGAAAAAAATATGGGCTGGAGTTAGAGACCGACAAGACTCCGGTGATCGTCCCAATAACCTGGTCATGATTCTTTCTTACCTGCCTGTGTATGCTTGAATGGGGTGGGGGTTTCATATTTTGGGTTCTACCTTTCAATCTTTAACTGGTTGGATAGCTAGTTTCCAGACCTGGGCTCTGCCATATGTTTTAAATCCATGTATGGAGTCTGCTGCCATAGCCATTTCACTACTTAGTTCGTTCTCCTTCTTTACCCGAACATTTGAAGAAATTGTTTCTAATATTCATATGGCTCATTTGTGTACTTAAGTTTCCTTGTGATCTATGGTTCAGTTTCCATAAACTATTCAGGTATCTTCATCATTCAGCATCTTATACATTCGGCAGAGCTGAGATGTATAAGATGGTGGGTGTTCCAATAGAAATGTTACCACGACAGTAATGAAGGAAAAGTATGATAAAGGAATTACTGTACTGAAGGTAGAAGTATTATTGTAACACTGTAGAACATCACTCTTTATTTTCCTTTACAGGTAGTGGAGACTCTGGAAAATAAAAATACAGTGAATGGCCATTCGAGCAGCGGCATCAATATTTGGGACACCAGTGGAGGTCTTCCTTATAATGGAGGTAAAGGGGGAAAGATATAAATAGACAGGGAATGGAAGGAATGGCTATCTAGTCTTGATGTGGATTGCAGTGGTTCTCTTGTCATACTAAAAGCCTTACTCTCTGTAAACAATTGAGCTTCTTTCAGTCATAGAATACACAACGACTTGTTTCTAGTGTTTGCCTTCGGTGGATGATAAGCCAACTTGGTTACCTTTTTTCTTAAGCTTCGATTATGTGTGTAAATTAGAATCTGGCACTGATGATGTACCCATTTGTTGATTTTAAACTTTTAAATATTTCACATGCTTAGTGTGTCCGATTGGTTAACAAGTTTGGCATTTGAGATTGATAGGTCTTCGGTGTGGTGGTGTCTGGTCTCGTGTTAGCTTCACTGAATATGCGTGTATGTGGCTGTCTAGTGTGTGTTAGGATAAAAACTTATTTCCAGCTTTACATGGCTTTTTATTTTGCAGCATTAATCATTCTGAAGATGGCAGACTATGCAGTGTACTGTAAATTCAAAATATATTTTTATATTCATGAATTTTGTCTTTGCTTAGCAATTGCAAACTGGAAGATAAATGTGTGTTAACTTTGTTTATTCTGTGGACAAGTGGCTTAAATTTGCTAGATAATTACATAATTGTGACTAAATTTGGACTATACACCTATTATATTAACAGAACAGATGAGACCAGATGGATTCATGAACAGTATTTAACTTGTACAAAATTGAACAATAGGGTGTTAAATATGGTAATACAGTTCTTTGTAAGCTGGTCCCTCAAAATACTGCCTGACCAAGAGTCTACACAGTCCATCCAGGACTCATATTACCAACTAGGCTCTCATTAACCTTGTTTCCCCGCTGTGACAAGGAACTTTTTAAATTATCTTGCTATGTAGTTAGGGAAGGGAGCCAGTGGTGAGTTTAACTCACTAGTTAGTAATCAAGAAAAACCTAGTATTGGAAAACATAGTATAGGGATCTTCAATGAAAAACCTCTGAGAGAAAAAGGAAAATCCATCCTAGAGCAGGATTAGAGAAGGGGCCTGGTCTCAGATGCACCCATATTCAATACCAGTCAACCACCAGTCGGAGAAGGGAAGGGCAGGACCCTGCCCCATAAAGGTCAGAAATGACCAGAGGTTCCGGCAACAGGTACATAATGTATTTAGTTTTCCATGTGATTCTAATTATTAAGAGTACAGACCTGTAAATCAGAGGCCTTGATTACGTGGTACACCACTTGGAAATTGCCATATCATGGTAAGGGACAAAATCAATGAGAATCTGATGGGTAATACGGGTCTTGGGTGGGTCATGTAGGCTCTAGTTCAGGTAGTATCTGAAGGGCCTTATAAACTGTACTATACTGTGAAATTACTGTCAACATTTCTGATGTTACTGTACTTTCAATTTCACTGTTTATAGCCATACAATCTTAAAGAATACTTTAATAGTGTGTCTTATTAAGAGACAATACAATAGCTGTAATTTACCACTGAAAACATATTATAAAGTATATATATGCACAAAAACCAAAAACAAATCTTGAATATGACAATTTTCAGAATATCTTACAGCGATAAAACATTATTCGTACTAAAGGTGGCATTCTATTCAGTTATACTTGGCATGTAAAATTTGTAGCTCTCTGATATGGTTCATCCCTCTGAGCTTTCGTTATGCAACAAGCATCCTTGCCGAGTGCTGGTGTGATTAAGTCTGTTGTTAGGCCAGCATGCTGTAAGGTCTCTCATCCAGCACGTGCTTGTGGTCTTTAATGCATCTAAACAAAAATGCTTTCCATATATTCACTGAAGTCATCTAAGGTTAATACATTGCTCATATTGCCTACACAGAACTCTAGAAGTTTAGGCTTCTATGTATGTATAAATATATATATATATATATATATATATATATATATATATATATATATATATATATATATATATATATATATATATATATATATATATATATATATATACATATATATATATATATATATATATATTATTAAATATGACCGAAAAAGTAAGATTAATAATTCTAACACGAATTTTCTCAATCTTTCGTACATTACGCTTCACTGGAGGTAAATCAAAAATCAATTCTCCAAAATTCATTTTTATTTCTAGTCTGACGCGACACGGGCGCGTTTCGTAAAACTTATTACATTTTCAAAGACTTTAGTTCACAAATACACAACTGATTAGAACTTACGTATCTCCAATTTTATATCTACATTTGAGTGAGGTGGGAGGGGTGATGTGGCATTAACACAAGACAGAACAAGAGGGGATATTAATAGGGTATTAAAAGTATCAACACAAGACAGAACACAAACAATGGGTATTGAATAGAAGTGTAGTAATATTTCTTGATGCTTCTATATTGGAGCGGAGTCTTGAGGTGGGTAGAATATAGTTGTGCAATAATTGGCTGTTGATTGCTGGTGTTGACTTCTTGATGTGTAGTGCCTCGCAAACGTCAAGCCGCCTGCTATCGCTGTATCTATCGATGATTTCTGTGTTGTTTACTAGGATTTCTCTGGCGATGGTTTGGTTGTGGGAAGAGATTATATGTTCCTTAATGGAGCCCTGTTGCTTATGCATCGTTAAACGCCTAGAAAGAGATGTTGTTGTCTTGCCTATATACTGGGTTTTTTGGAGCTTACAGTCCCCAAGTGGGCATTTGAAGGCATAGACGACGTTAGTCTCTTTTAAAGCGTTCTGTTTTGTGTCTGGAGAGTTTCTCATGAGAAGGCTGGCCGCTTTTCTGGTTTTATAGTAAATCGTCAGTTGTATCCTCTGATTTTGTCTGTAGGGATAACGTTTCTATTAACAATATCTTTCAGGACCCTTTCCTCCGTTTTATGAGCTGTGGAAAAGAAGTTCCTGTAAAATAGTCTAATAGGGGGTATAGGTGTTGTGTTAGTTGTCTCTTCAGAGGTTGCATGGTTTTTCACTTTCCTTCTTATGATGTCTTCGATGAAACCATTGGAGAAGCCGTTATTGACTAGGACCTGCCTTACCCTACAGAGTTCTTCGTCGACTTGCTTCCATTCTGAGCTGTGGCTGAGAGCACGGTCGACATATGCGTTAACAACACTCCTCTTGTACCTGTCAGGGCAGTCGCTGTTGGCATTTAGGCACATTCCTATGTTTGTTTCCTTAGTGTAGACTGCAGTGTGGAAACCTCTGCCCTTTTCCATGACTGTTACATCTAGAAAGGGGAGCTTCCCATCCTTTTCCATCTCGTAAGTGAAACGCAGCACGGAACTCTGCTCAAATGCCTCCTTCAGCTCCTGCAGATGTCTGACATCAGGTACCTGTGTAAAAATGTCGTCAACATACCTGCAGTATATGGCCGGTTTCAAGTTCATGTCGACTAAGACTTTTTGCTCGATGGTACCCATGTAGAAGTTTGCAAACAGGACACCTAGGGGAGAACCCATGGCGACCCCATCTACTTGCTTATACATGTGCCCATCCGGGCTCAAGAAGGGTGCCTCTTTAGTACAAGCTTGGAGTAGTTTCCTCAGAATATTTTCTGGCATGTCAAGAGAAGTACAGGCTGGATCACGATACACTCTGTCGGCTATCATTCCGATTGTCTCGTCCACAGGTACGTTGGTGAACAGCGATTCGACGTCCAACGAGGCTCTTATCCCTGTGGCCCGTGTGCCCCTCAGTAAGTCAACAAATTCCTTTGGAGACTTCAGGCTGAAGGCGCAAGGAACATAAGGAGTCAGCAGGCCGTTGAGTCGCTTCGCCAGTCTGTACGTGGGTGTGGGTATCTGGCTAATGATTGGCCGAAGTGGGTTTCCAGGCTTGTGTCATTAGCCAGATACCCACACCCACGTACAGACTGGCGAAGCGACTCAACGGCCTGCTGACTCCTTATGTTCCTTGCGCCTTCAGCCTGAAGTCTCCAAAGGAATTTGTTGACTTACTGAGGGGCACACGGGCCACAGGGATAAGAGCCTCGTTGGACGTCGAATCGCTGTTCACCAACGTACCTGTGGACGAGACAATCGGAATGATAGCCGACAGAGTGTATCGTGATCCAGCCTGTACTTCTCTTGACATGCCAGAAAATATTCTGAGGAAACTACTCCAATCTTGTACTAAAGAGGCACCCTTCTTGAGCCCGGATGGGCACATGTATAAGCAAGTAGATGGGGTCGCCATGGGTTCTCCCCTAGGTGTCCTGTTTGCAAACTTCTACATGGGTACCATCGAGCAAAAAGTCTTAGTCGACATGAACTTGAAACCGGCCATATACTGCAGGTATGTTGATGACATTTTTACACAGGTACCTGATGTCAGACATCTGCAGGAGCTGAAGGAGGCATTTGAGCAGAGTTCCGTGCTGCGTTTCACTTACGAGATGGAAAAGGATGGGAAGCTCCCCTTTCTAGATGTAACAGTCATGGAAAAGGGCAGAGGTTTCCACACTGCAGTCTACACTAAGGAAACAAACATAGGAATGTGCCTAAATGCCAACAGCGACTGCCCTGACAGGTACAAGAGGAGTGTTGTTAACGCATATGTCGACCGTGCTCTCAGCCACAGCTCAGAATGGAAGCAAGTCGACGAAGAACTCTGTAGGGTAAGGCAGGTCCTAGTCAATAACGGCTTCTCCAATGGTTTCATCGAAGACATCATAAGAAGGAAAGTGAAAAACCATGCAACCTCTGAAGAGACAACTAACACAACACCTATACCCCCTATTAGACTATTTTACAGGAACTTCTTTTCCACAGCTCATAAAACGGAGGAAAGGGTCCTGAAAGATATTGTTAATAGAAACGTTATCCCTACAGACAAAAATCAGAGGATACAACTGACGATTTACTATAAAACCAGAAAAACGGCCAGCCTTCTCATGAGAAACTCTCCAGACACAAAACAGAACGCTTTAAAAGAGACTAACGTCGTCTATGCCTTCAAATGCCCACTTGGGGACTGTAAGCTCCAAAAAACCCAGTATATAGGCAAGACAACAACATCTCTTTCTAGGCGTTTAACGATGCATAAGCAACAGGGCTCCATTAAGGAACATATAATCTCTTCCCACAACCAAACCATCGCCAGAGAAATCCTAGTAAACAACACAGAAATCATCGATAGATACAGCGATAGCAGGCGGCTTGACGTTTGCGAGGCACTACACATCAAGAAGTCAACACCAGCAATCAACAGCCAATTATTGCACAACTATATTCTACCCACCTCAAGACTCCGCTCCAATATAGAAGCATCAAGAAATATGGACCAATAGGCTTTCTACAAACACTTCTATTCAATACCCATTGTTTGTGTTCTGTCTTGTGTTGATACTTTTAATACCCTATTAATATCCCTCTTGTTCTGTCTTGTGTTAATGCCACATCACCCCTCCCACCTCACTCAAATGTAGATATAAAATTGGAGATACGTAAGTTCTAATCAGTTGTGTATTTGTGAACTAAAGTCTTTGAAAATGTAATAAGTTTTACGAAACGCGCCTGTGTCGCGTCAGACTAGAAATAAAAATGAATTTTGGAGAATTGATTTTTGATTTACCTCCAACAGTGAAGCGTAATGTACGAAAGATTGAGAAAATTCGTGTTAGAATTATTAATCTTACTTTTTCGGTCATATTTAATAATATATGTCTACAGGAAAGACTGCTACCAAAATATACTAATATATATATATATATATATATATATATATATATATATATATATATATATATATATATATATATATATATATATATATATATATATATATATATATATATATATATATATATATATACATATATATACATACATACACATACAGCTGTACAGTATAACCTTCCTCTCTCTCTCTCTCTCTCTCTCTCTCTCTCTCTCTCTCTCTCTCTCTCTCTCTCTCTCTCTCTCTCTCTTCTCTCTTAATTAATGCATTTAATTTTTTCTTTCATCATCTATGGAATGGACATTTTGACAGCTTTAAATGTTTTCTGTGTTTTTTGCATGTAAACGTTTTAGTCAGCGATGATGAAGATCTCTACCGTAGTGAGGGCTCCGGAGGTGTCGTGTACAACCCGTTCCACCCTAGTAAGTTCATGCAAGCTTCTTAAACACTAACACTGTGGGAAGACTCGCTTACATCAATTGCACATAACTCCATTCACCCAGAATTGTGCCACTGGAAATGATTATGGTGGTGGTGTTGTGGACTATTGGAAGCTCTTATGGTGCTGTTGACTGCATATGGAAGCAGTGATGTTTCATATCTAACCCATTTTCTGTGCATAATTATATACATAGTACTATACATGCCGAAGGAGGACCACCTTTGAATTATTACCTTCTTGGCCTCCTTACTCTGCCATTTCTTCTTCTCGAGTGTAATTTTTGTTCTTCATTTGCAGTACTGTATTTATAATGAACTCATACATAGAGAATTTTGTTTGATAAATAAAGTACAGTACTGAATTTTTATTATTTAAAATTTGAGGAATTCCATGTGGAATATTTACTTACATTTTATTCTGAATTAGTTTGAAACTTATTGTACTGGAATAAATTTGTATGATACAGAAGTTTGAATACTCAATATGATTATACACACAAAGTGATGCCATTTGTGGTTGTGATTCCTTAATTTTTTTAATATACATTATTTAATGCAATTTTTACTACAGTATTGTAAATTATTTCATCATATTGCAGCACTAACTCAATTATAAAATTATAATACAATAAAGCCACAATTATTCTTTTAATAGTGGCAATATGGCCATATACAAAAATTTAAATTGCATCATTTTGCAAGAAAATTTCTCGTATATTGTACATGAAAGAAAAGTGTAAAATGTTCCCAAATAGACCCGAATTTACCTGATGGCTACCATCACTGTTGACCTTGTATGGGGCAGAAAATTTGAGGGTCCTTTTTTCCTACCATGTTTGTCATTTACCACAGAAGAAGGAAAAGGTGTTCGAGGTCCCCCTGGCCCACCAGGTCCTCAAGGAGTCCAGGGAATCGAGGGCATCCAAGGCCTCATGGGTCCCCCTGGAGGCACTGGTCCACCTGGCCAGCCTGGCTTGGATGGTCTACCTGGATCTCGGGTAAGATATTATTACATTACTGCCATGTATTCGCCAGTCACAAGTTTCATTTCTCTGTTTAAGATTGATTGTTCACCTTGTAACTTAAAAATTGGTGTATTTCATGTGTTAGCTTTAAGACTTGTCTGAAATGTTATGGGTGTTAATTTTTGCAGTTTCTTTGCATCACATAATACCAAATCTAACACAACCAGTTGTATTTTCTTGTACGTATATCAAAATACTGTACAGTAAATACATAAAAAAAGGGAAGGGGGTGGTAGGAGAAAAGCACACAGAAACTGTATTGGAGGGAATACACATTCCCTCCAATGCGTTATGTGTGGTTTCCTCCGAGGCTATGGGTCCCCCTTCTTCCAGCCAGAGGTGGTACTCCCTTCCATATAGGTAAATAAATACAAGCACATCAGAGTCTAGGTTGGCATAACAGGATATCTTTTGTTAATTACAAAATTCTTCCCACTTCGTTTTATGCCTGAAAATACGAAGAGATAATAAATTGACATTTTTTAAATTATTTCCTGCCCAGGGAGAAAAAGGAGAGCCAGGAATTGCTGGTGCCAAGGGAGAAGTAGGGTACCCAGGATCAAAAGGTGAGAAAGGTGACAGAGGTGAAGCAGGTCCCCCTGGCCCAATCAGCTTTCTTGTGCAGCCTGATGGAACCAACATCACCATAGTGAAGGTTAGTGTGCTAGTTACCTCATTGTATTGTGCAACTGTTCATGAAAAAAAACACTAACTAAATTTTGTCAGGTCTTGTTTCCAGTTTTCTGTTTGTGCTTTCCAGTTGCTCTTCAACCCAGCAAAGAGTTTAATTTAATTAAAGTGATAAACTATTGACATGCTACTAAGACTCATTTTAACAAGATGAATGCAATTTAAATAACCACAAAATTCACTCAGTTCCTAAAATACTTACACAAGTATCAATGACAACTATATTTCCTTTTTTATTATAGTTTCTTCATCTGATAGTATAGGGTTACTGTAGTTCTATTAAGATTGAATTTTACCCACCTAAAAATCAGATTAGCAAATTTTTGTCCCCATGTAATAGTAATACATTTTCTTATAAATATCTCGATTATTGTCTAACGCACCATAGCAAAACACCTGCAAGGACAGTACTATAGTTGTCTACTAAACAGCTGGACCTGATGATGGGCCACAAAGCCACATACACTACTTTTCTTTAATCTGTGCCCATTAAACTAGCATCACAACACTATAAAATTAAAGCACTAGAACAAATTTTTTGAAGGTAGTAAAATTTCTGGAAAGGTGAAATCAAAATAGTCATTAAATGTAAAAATGATCTTCAAAAACTTGACAGATGGTAAAAAAAATAGACTAACTCAATTCCATATACTGTACTGTAATGTATGTTGAAATCTAATTTTGCAACAATGTACCTAATTATCTTACCTGATCTGTTAGATTAAGGACCTGCCTGAAACGCTATGCGTGTTAGTGGCTTTGCAAGAATGTAAAAACACCAGTGTTATGTACACTCACAAACCCAATGTACCTTCTTATAAATAAATAAATAAATAACATAAATAATGCTAGACACTATATGTAGGGCATAACATTATGCACCATAGTTACCATAATGATAACTCGGCCATGCTACAGAATTTACAAGACAGGGACATCAAAGTAATAGTTCACTGATCACTTGATGCTGCTTACAGCAAGTAGGAGCCCCCATTCTAAAACGTCAGTCAAACCACAGGAATAACCAAATGAACCTTTGACTTCAAAAGAAAACAGTGCTCATATAGCTACTGATTCCGTGTTCACCTCCACCTGGACTATTGTATTAAACTGTGGAAACCTCAGTTCTAAAGAAACATTATCACATTAGATCACATTCAGCACAGGGTTCATCTCATTCAGACTTTAGCTCCTGAACCAAATAGGTATTGTAGGCTAAATCCAGACCACATTCTTAAATGTCCAACATGACTTAGAAGACTTAACAATTTAAAATGAACCAATGTAGAATGCACAAACAGAATACTCTGTATGCTTTTTCACTCGGAACAATGCAATTTAAATAACCACACCAGTGTAAACACCTACCCATGAAAGACAAAAGCTGAGATAGTGCTTCAGTTCAAAATACATTTAGAAAAATATATCATAAAGAATATATCTTTATGATATAATATATAATAAAGATATAATATACAGTATCTTTATATAAAAATCTTGTCTTGCATTGATTTGATTTCGGGGATCCACATCCCATGGCCCAGTCTCTGATCAGGCCTGTTTACATAAGCTGCCAGCTTCATATCTCTGCTATGGCCACTAGAGATAGTAGCTGATGGGATGAGCATTAGTGGAACACCCACAGGACAAGCATAGGATGAACATTGGTTTAACACCCACACAACAAGCATAGGATGCACAATACTATCAGCACATGGCAGCAAAAATTAGCCAACTATCAATTACTGATACCGGTATTCTCTAAACAAATCCAAACTACTGTATCTTTCCTTAACAGGAGCCTTTTCACCATGCACACATTCCTGGACTATCTTTCTTTGCCTTTTCAGCTCAACATTTTGTTCAATATACCAGTACATACTTGTACAGTGTTCTTAATCTTGATGTCTGGAAGAACTAAGAGCAACAATGAGATCTCTGTAGGAGTTCTTGATAGCACTGCTTGTAGTCGTCATTATTACAGTACTCTTATCTATTTAGGATTAAGGTACAGTACTTGTTTGTGTGCTCGTACGACAAAAAGAACATAATTACAGGTGAAATATACTTTCTCAAAATTAAGAAAACACTTGCAATATATCTACAGTAATGTGGGTTCAATTACATGCATACAGAATTTAATACAACAATATTCATTTCACAAATCTTATGAACAAATTATTATTTTAACTTTGTTGCATTAGCTTATCCTCAACACTAAAGAGACTGCATTGATAATAAAAAACAATTCCCAATAACACTAATATAATGGAATGCTTGAGCAGAAGAAGAACTTATAATAATCAGGAATTTGCTGGATGCCTGCTAACTCTCAAATCTTTCTTAGTGAGCCTTTATTAGTTAATGCACCATAACTTGCCACTAACATGACCTGAGGGACTTTTCCACAAGTGGGTAGCTGGCAAAATACAGTATGCACCAGCACCTACAAGTGAACAGCAGCCACTTAAAGGGGCGACATCCTTGAGAAAAGTTATTCTGAGATATCTTATCTGATTTACAGTTAGATATCTTTATCCATGAAAAGCTATTATGTATTAAGATTAAGAACAATTTAACCATGTATGCACATAAATTATCAGATACAAAGAGCATAAAAACCTGTCTAAATCTTTAACTGACATGAGTGTCAGAGGTGCAAAAAATTGAGGAGTTATTAGGCTCCTTGTAAATAATGCAGTATTTACTGAGAAAAATAGCCACCTCATCCAAGTGTGGACAGCTCCTATTGGTCAAGTGTGACATGGCTGAGATTCAACTTGGCAGCTTATGGTAACCGGCCTTCAGGACTCACCGGTACTAACGTGTTGCAGGGCGATAAAGGCGACCGTGGGAGGAGAGGCAAGCGAGGAAAGCGGGGCCCCCCTGGTCCAGCGGGGGCCCTTGGGGATCTTGGTCTCCCAGGATGGCCGGTAAGTGTTGGTCAGGAGACCCCTGTGGCAGGCCCTAAGGTACAAAGGAAATATGTAAATAGAAAAAAAGTGAAATAAATGAATGAGAAAATAATACAAAGATATTCATATATATTTGTGCATGAAGTACCATATAGTGTTGAGTGAATGTGCTTGTTGCTACGCACTTCTTGTAGAGTCTTAATGCTTTTGTTAAGGTATATAAATTAGATAATGTACTAACAATTGCTTGAGCTTCTTGCCAGTATACTGTATTTACTAACTTCTAGATATGACCTCTTAACCCTTTTGTAAGTACATAACTAAAGTCCTAGTTATATTGTATTAAATTTAATAAATACAACTCCTCATTTTGTATTTTTAATGCTGTTTTTATTTATCATTAGTGTGTTAGAGGATATTTAAATTATTATTTCTTGTGAAAGCCGTCAGTCAAACTCCTTTCATTGTGAGTTATAATCAGTCTTTACATTTAATATAAAAGGGATTGTACTTCAAATTAAAAGTAATTATTGTCTTTTGCTGCATCCCAGAATATGACCCAAATTGTAAGTATCAACCGTATGTGGGTACAGTGCCACCATCTTATGTAGGTACAGTGTCACCACCATATGTAGGTACAGTGCCACCACCATATGTAGGTACAGTGTCACCACCATATGTAGGTATAGTGTCACCACCTTATGTAGGTATAGTATCACCACCTTATGTAGGTACAGTGCCACCACCATATGTAGGTACAGTATCACCACCTTATGTAGGTACAGTGTCACCACCTTATGTAGGTACAGTGTCACCACCTACTGTATATGCATATACAGTACTGTATATATATATACTGTACACCTATTCAGTTGTTAGTTTAATAAAATTCAAAATTTTTATCATGGTGTTACTAATATATAGAAAATGTACTGAAAATTTTACTGTTTACACAGTTGAGTATGAGTTTTATTTATCATTAACAAATATGTCACTAGTGCTTAAAAAACATGTACAATAAAATGAAAACGATAAGTACATGGTCACATAATTACTTTAGGATTTTATCATTATTTTGTTAGTTCCTTATATAGGATATTGGTAAAAGTGGTCTACAGTTAATTAGACTATGAATGATGGGTTTATCTATCTTAGATTCTATACCTTTAGTTTTCAAGGGTAGAGGGTATGGAGGACTGCTTTGCCCTGGGTCCCGATTTGGGGGATCCCGGGGCTGGGGAGGAGTTGACTTCGTGGGCTTGTGCTTCTTTTGACCACGCTTGGGTGTTGGTGCCTTCTTCATGGGGCTAGTTGTTGCAAGGGAAAGGGGTTTTCTTACCCCCGCTTTCCCTGTATGAGTATGATTTGGGGTCGGCTCTTCCCTGGGGGTTCGATTCTGGGTTCCCTTGGTAACCCAGAATCGAACAGGTAACAGAGAACCCTGTTAACCCACTCCTCCAGTCAAATACATTGTCTCTGATTACTGCCCTCATATGTTTTTCAGTTAGAAAGGTTTTCATCTATCTCAGAAGTCAATTTTGTGTGTACTCATCTAGTTGTGCTTGTAGGGGTTGAGCTCTAGCCTTTTGGTCCCGCCTCTCAACTGTCAATCAACTGATGTATAGGTTCCCGAGCCTATTGAGCTCTATCATATCTACACTTGAAACTGTGTATGAAGTCTGCCTCCATACTGCCTGCCTGCCTCCATTCTATGTGTGTGTGTGTGTGTGACTTTACAATATGTGGTGTCACCACCATACAATATGTACATTGTCACCACCTTACAATATGTACAGTGTCACCATCCAATAATACGTACAGCGTTACCATCTAATGATACATACACTAGCTTCATCATCTTATAATATGTACAGTGTCACCACCTCAGTATGTGTATTGTAGTCATTATGCTTTATCTGTTTCAATGTTGTTATTTGCAATATATATATACAAAACAGCTAAAACACAGTAATAATAATTATAATCAGCTAGTATTTAAATTAATGGGACAAACATATATTGTTCATAAATTCAGTAATGTTCAGTATAATCCAGCACTTGACTTTAGTGGCTACCAGATTCTTGCAGTTGTATTTGTTGTATTTGACTTTTCTCTCACAAAGCTTTTCATAACTGATGCATTTTCAAGGGTTCTCAAGGTCCCCCGGGACCCCCAGGACCTCCTGGAATTGGTCGGAAAGGAGAACCTGGGGCCCCTGGCCCTCCTGGTCCTCCAATCGGTGGCTTCCTCAATGGCATTTTGGTAAGTTTTTTATGTGCTTGAATGTACAGGTACTGTATATTTAAATTTTTTACAGATGTAGAGAATGTCACAATAACATGGCTGAAACAAATAACCAAAGCCATACATGTGAACTAATAATGGTTTGGGCTATCCTAGACCTTTAATAGGTCCATGACTTGACTTGTCATTAATTGATAAGGGTCCAGCATGGTTAGAAATGTCACTTTCATTTCAGTTCATATGTGTAGATGGGTTGTTTTTACCCATGACAATTTTTTGGGTTCATTTACACATACAGTATTCTGTTTTGGATAGTCTGCAGTCTGCACATTCTTTCAAGAATCTGTACTGAACCACTCTTGGAGCTTAGGCCGATGATGACTCGGCTTATGTTACAAGCTTCCACCTCACCATCAAGCTTAGACCATCATCTAGCAGGTTGGGAAGAGGTATTAACTGTAATTAGTTGTACACTTGGGAATTGTAATTAGTGGACCAAGAATCAGTGTAGGACTTCTAGAAATGTGGGACACTTAGAGATAGGTTATTTAGAATTAACAGACCCCCTCTCATTATCTGCACATAAGCTAATGAGAATATGGAGCAAGTATATTATTTACATAATACTGTATACTTTTGTATATACAGTATATACAAAAATAAAAGTTCTTACATTCTTGTACAGCCACTAACACACACAGCGTTTTGGGCAGGTCCTTAATCCTAATGTTCCCCGGAATACAACCTCGCCAAATTGTTTAACAACCAGGTACCCATTTTACTGTTGGGTAAACAGAGGCTACAGTTAAGGATTGGCACCCAGAAAATCCCTCCCCACCCAGCCAGGATACAAACCCAGGACAAAGTACTCGCGAAATGCCAGGCGAGTGTCTTACCACTCCACCACGGTGACTGCTTGTTACATAACTCCCCCTCCCAGAGGATGAAAGAAGAGGAATAAAACAGAAATATGAGGCTATTGTTCCCTTGGTCGCTGTGGAGCATGTAGATCCAGTGCCAAAAGATGCAGGCAGTGTACAGATGGGCTCGATCACTTAGACCATGCAGGGTAGCTGAAGCAGGAGAGAAGAATGTGCATGATTGTTGCACTGTTAAATTAAAATTTAAAATCTTTGCTGTATCTGCTACATTATAAACAAATTAACTATTTTTTCTGATACTGGAGCAATATTGCTGTATATTATTATGTTTAAACAGACCGTTTCTTCATTTGGAAAAAAAAGATGTTAATTGTATTGGTTTGTGAGTGCTCAGAGATGTGTTTTAAACACAAAGAATTGAAATATCTTTATTCATAAATATACAAATGCTTACATTCACAAGTCTTTTCTACATGAGCTTTTCCTTTATTCTCCAGGGCAGCAGCAGCTCTGATGTTGCAGGCATGTCATCTTCTGGTGGCTCTGTGGTAGTGGGCCCAATAGGACCAGCAGGGCCCCCAGGGCCATCTGGAGCTCCTGGACCCCCTGGACCCCCAGGTCCTCCAGGAAGCTCCCAGAGTAGTGACAGTCAGATGTACATTCCGGTACCTGGACCACCCGGTCCTCCTGGTCCACCGGTAAGAAAAAGCAATACTGTACACTGTAATGAAATTTGATTGTCACAAGTGGCGCAGTACATGAAATGCTTCAGAGTTGATGCATATTATACAGTAATTATTACTGAACTTCCTAACTTTTGGCAGAATAACTTCATATAAACTGCATGATTGTTACAATATCCTAAGAATTCATGGTACTGGGTATTGATGATTTTAGGGACCTCCTGGTGTGCCTGGCCTGTCCATGGAAGGGCCCCAAGGACCACGTGGATCCACAGGATCGCCAGGCCACGGTCTTCCTGGTAACCCAGGACCTCCAGGTCCTCCTGGTCAACCAGGCTATGGTCAGAAAGGTGAGAATGGTGTCATTTCTGAATTTGGTCAAAATTAAAAACAAATGCTGTCATGCCATACTCACACTCCTAAGTTTTGTAAAGAGTGCAGCATACTAAGATATGATAAATAAGTTATACATTGGTGGTTCGCATACATAAAAAGCTTATTATTGTTGGCTATTAAGAGTCCTATTAATAACAATTTATTTAAATGTGTATAATAGCTTATTATACTTTAGTGTATTTTACACATATGTATATACAAAGGCATGTACTGTATCTTATTTGTACCATTAACACTGTGCAGAGGGCTTCTGTTAATCAGATATGAACTCTTATTGCTCCCTCTAGTTGCTTCACATTTTTAAAACAGAAAGAGGGTTACTGTTGAGTTACAAAAATAACTTAACATACTCAGTGTATATGGTTTTTTCTATTGTGAAAAGTAATTATTAACCTTGCTTTGCCAGAGTCTTTATTATTAAAGTCGATCTGTCTTCCATGAAAAGCTGCTCTGCATTTGGTCTGTCTCTGTTGATCTGCCTTATACTTTCTCTGTTTGCTCTCGCTCACTCGCTCTCTTATCCCCAGTGCCCTACTCCCTTCTAATTCTTCCTCTCTACCTTCCCCCTCTTTCTCCGAGGTATTTACATGTTTTTTAACCCATGGGCTGCAGGAGGTGGCTACGGTGGAATCGAGGAGCTTCGTCGTATTACCAGCCACCGAGGAAACCAAGGTGGTATAGTGCTGTCTTTTTCCAAGTCTTTTCTCTTTGTATGTCCATCTGCCTCTGAATTCCTTTATTTTTGTACTGTATCTGTTTAGCAACCATTGCATACTTCTCTTCTTTGATTGAAATCTTGCCCTGTTATTCCTTGCCAGTGTGTGAAGAAATAAATTAACAATTGGATTGAATCCACTTCCGTGAACCGAATATTTGCTTGTTGATACTGGTATATCACATTCTTGTGATTTCATTGTGCATTTACAAGGGCATGAGATGGAGAACATCACTATCGACATCCGAGTGTGGGTGGGAATTATTTAATATCTTGGATTGTGGTACCGAATGATGCCTTCCAAATTCCATATAAGTAGTACTTAGGGTGGAGATACTTTTAGCCCATCATGGTCCATTTGGTAGTGCATGTGCCTGAGAAATTCAGGGATTTAGATTCGATCCCTTTGTACAGCTTCAATATTTTCTCATAAATGGCATATCTTCAGCTATCTCTCTCAGGTCATCTTTTGATACATAACAGTCTAAATAAAAACTGTTTATTTTTAATCCAATCATTATGTCTCACAAGTGATTAATACATGCATGTTAATTACTCCTCCACACAGCATATTTATGTTTTGGGGATCAAATTTATAACAGAACATTCGTTGGGATGTTCACCAGGTCCCCCTGGTGTGCCAGGACCGCCCGGTAAGGATGGTGTGGAGTCAGCGGGACCAACTACCAGCATAGTACCTGGTGCAGTGACTTTCCCAGACAAGGCAGCCATGTTGAAGGTCAGTTGGGCGTTAAAGTATACTGTTTAGTCATAGTTACTGTTTTTTATCATTGTAAAAATTATTTAATTTAAACTGTATTTTTATATTGAATAAAATTATTAAAATCAAAATGTTTATTCAGGTAAAAGAACATACATAGTAGATGAGTTACAAACATAATGTTGGATTCATAGATAGAGCTAGTACATACAATACCTAAAGCCAATAATACGCACAGCGTTTTGGGCAAGTTACTATTACTTTGCTTATAAACCAGTTACATCTCCCTGTCAACAACAGATGAGCGAGATGTCACCCATCGGTACACTGGCCTTCATCCTAGATGAAGAGGTGATGCTGGTACGGATAGGGGCTGGATGGCAGTACATCTCTGTAAGTATATGTCCGTCTACATTCTTTTGGAGTTAAATAATAAAGTATCGTATAATGTCATGCAAGCCCTAAGCATTTTCCCAGCAATTTGTCTATTCTGAGTCATGTGTACTCATGTACTGAAATACATATTTCAAGTGTAACTGTAAATGTGTAGCAAGCATTGATATTTTCAAGTTTCTTTCACATATGCCACGCTGCACCAATGTCCAGTCACAAGCATGTGTAATATATATTTGTGTGCACTGACTTTATATACACACTCCCTTCAAATAATATTCTGGTAATTTGCATCTTCCATAACCTCATTTCATGATCATGTGCTTAAAAGTCCTGTTTCTGGGTTTGGAAATCAAAGCTAAAGCCAGCATGTATATTATCATTATCTGTATATTTTTTCAGCACATAATGTTTCATTTTATTAAATAAGCAAGAAAAAGAACCAGGTGTAAAGGTTTCCAGTTAGCTGATGCATCCTTAACCCTCAGGGGTGTAGATTTATCGGAAGTATTCTGCCTATATCATTCAATCACCACTCCACATTGGTGATTGAATGATATACCTATTTTTACCTATACTTAGGTACAGAACTCCACAGTTCTGTACCTAAGTATAGTTCCAGGATGAGAGCTACTCTTGTGGTGTTAAATCTTCCCAGCACTCTGTCATACTACATTTTGAAACTACTGACGGTTTTGGCCTCTACAACCTTTTCACTTATTCCTACCATCTACCACTCTTATTTGCCACAATGTGTATTTTATATATAAATATATATGTGCACTTGCACTTGGTCCATCTCATTCAGATAAGAGATAAAAATTAAAATAATTCATAATAATAGATATACAGAGACAGACAGACAGACACATTTGGTCATTTCTGCAGATGGGCTCTGTGGTACCACTGCCTACCACCACCCCAGCGCCACCTACCACCACCACCATCACCCAGACGCCCGCAGCACACCACCCGCCCCTCCAGGTGGATTCACTCGTCAATGTGGATGGACCCAGGGTGAGACAGGGTGTCCACGGTCACCTGCAACGCACTGCACTCTCCTTAGATTTAAGATCATGCAATTTTGCTGTGATGACTTCAATTTATTTTAATATTACACTAACATTTTCATCAGAGCACACGAGCGGCACCTTTAAAGCACTTCTTAATTGCTCTCTCTCTCTTTTCCGGTGGTTGTAAGGTGTGTGTTACCCTGAATTACCCAAGGGTAAGGCAGACATTTGCCTCTAGCTTTCTTTTGTACTATCTCAGATGGGAATATATTGTTGATCAATTTTTGTAAGCCTTTTTATAGAATTCATAGTAGTAATATCTATAACATTTTTGTGTGGCATCTGACTACCAGTAAATATTGTATTCTCAGCGGATATTATACAGTTCAGTAAATAGTTGAAACAAGCTGAATCTTATATAGTTTATGCTAACATATCAACAACAGTGCACTACCATAGATATTTTAGCATTTTTTTTTTTGCATGGTATGTTTCATGTCAGTTTTCTGAACATATGCTTGATGTATTCTGTTCCATGTCTCTCTACAGCTCGGACAGCTCACAAAGGCAAGTATGGCAGAAAAGCTCACTTCTCCATTATATATGCAATGAATAATACTATTAATTATGTACTGTAATGATGAGCTTGTAACTGAGAGTTCATATGTTGGTCAATACAGATTGTTTTTTATATTTATATAATAATTTATAATAATTTATAATAATAATAATTTATTGTTGGGGGACAGGCAGCCTGTTTGTATATACAGTACAAGTTAGGTTTATATTGAGGTCCCCCAGAGTCGAATTACTGACCCTCCCCAGGATATAATCCCACAAGAAGCTGACTAACTAGTGGGTACTATTTATCGCTAGGTGGACAGGGACATTAGGTCATAGGAAACACGCCCAACCATTTCTGTCCCACTTGGGATTTGAACCCAGAATTCTCAACTGAGAGCCGAGGATGAACCTGACTGTACAGTACAGTACTACCGGGACCCTGGATATATAACAAATATATGATTAAATGATGGATAACTTTTTATAGAGGTTAGCTGGAGTGGTTATTTACTAAACTAATACCCACACCAAATTAATATTGAGGTAACAATATAAAAGATACATATTGATACATCTTTAATAATATATGAACAGGCATTTACATTTTGCAATTATTTTCAGAATGAAGCATATAATTTAATGAAAGAAAATTTTTGGGTGAGCCCCAGTGGTTCCCTAAAGCTACCATCTCTAATACCTGCTTGATGGGGTTCTGGGAGTTCTTCTACTCCCCAAGCCTAGCCTGAGGGCTTGTGGAGTAGTGTGCCATACTACTAGGTGCCCTCAGGTGCAGAGTTCTATTGGCCTATTGGGGACCATGAGCCAGAACCTGGGCCCACCCACACAGAGGTGCAGGGAGCAATGACACTTATAACATTTGTATTATTTATGCATGTCTGCCACCACTGAGGAAGGCACCCAGAAAGTCAATGAAACAAACAAACCACTGCTGGCTTTAAACAAGACAGCAGCTTCGAGAACTGTCTAAAAAAAACTCCCCAAACTATGTAAACAAAAGATAAAAAAATGACAAAACTAGCACTATATATTTATATTATATATATATATATATAATATATATATACTGTACATACATACACACACACACACACACACACACACACACACACACACACACACACACACACACTCAGTTTCTATGATCGAGCCACAGAGATATTACAGGAAAGAGATGGTTGGGTTGACTGCATCTATCTGGACCTAAAAAAGGCTTTCGACAGAGTTCCACATAAGAGGTTGTTCTGGAAACTGGAAAATATTGGAGGGGTGACAGGTAAGCGTCTATCATGGATGAAAAATTTTCTGACTGATAGAAAAATGAGGGCAGTAATCAGAGGCAATGTATCAGAATGGAGAAATGTCACAAGTGGAGTACCACAGGGTTCAGTTCTTGCACCAGTGATGTTTATTATGTACATAAATGATCTACCAGTTGGTATACAGAATTATATGAACATGTTTGCTGATGATGCTAAGATAATAGGAAGGATAAGAAATTTAGATGACTGTCATGCCCTTCAAGAAGACCTGGACAAAATAAGTATATGGAGCACCACTTGGCAAATGGAATTTAATGTTAATAAATGTCATGTTATGGAATGTGGAATAGGAGAACATAGACCCCACACAACCTATATATTATGTGAGAAATCTTTAAAGAATTCTGATAAAGAAAGAGATCTAGGAGTGGTTCTAGATAGAAAACTATCACCTGAGGACCACATAAAGAATATTGTGCAAGGAGCCTATGCTATGCTTTCTAACTTCAGAATTGCATTTAAATACATGGATGGCGATATACTAAAGAAATTGTTCATGACTTTTGTTAGGCCAAAGCTAGAATATGCAGCTGTTGTGTGGTGCCCATATCTTAAGAAGCACATCAACAAACTGGAAAAGGTGCAAAGACATGCTACTAAGTGGCTCCCAGAACTGAAGGGCAAGAGCTACGAGGAGAGGTTAGAAGCATTAAATATGCCAAAACTAGAAGACAGAAGAAAAAGAGGTGATATGATCACTACATACAAAATAGTTACAGGAATTGATAAAATCGACAGGGAAGACTTCCTGAGACCTGGAATTTCAAGAACAAGAGGTCATAGATTTAAACTAGCTAAACACAGATGCCGAAGAAATATAAGAAAATTCACCTTCGCAAATAGAGTGGTAGACGGTTGGAACAAGTTAAGTGAGAAGGTGGTGGAGGCCAAGACCGTCAGTAGTTTCAAAGTGTTATATGACAAAGAGTGCTGGGAAGACGGGACACCACGAGCGTAGCTCTCATCCTGTAACTACACTTAGGTAATTACACTTAGGTAATTACACACACACACACACACACACACACACACACACACACACACACACACACACACAATGGAAGTGCTAAGAAATGCCAGGAAACTGCAGAGTGATGAGGTTGGCAAATTTTGGTCAATAAGAAAAGACCTCTCCAAGGAAGACAGAGAAAAGCTGAAAATGAACTTAATTGAGGCAAAACGTCTAAATGGGGATAGAAATGAAGAAGACAGAAATTCTTTTTTTTACAAAGTGACAAGGACTGGAAAGCTTGTGAAATGGTACATAAAAACAAAGCAACAAGATCAGTAGTGGAAGGGGGAGTAAAGAGCAAAGGAAAAGGGAACATGTTCCTGAAAATTGTATATACCAACATAGATGGAGTGAGGTCAAAAACTTTGGAGTTGCAAGATATAATCCAGCTTAGGGTCCCAGATATTGTTGCATTATCAGAAACGAAACTTGAAGGAAATATAACAAATGAAGTCATATTCCCAAGAGGCTACTCAGTTTGGAGACGTGACAGGAAAACTAGGAAGGGAGGAGGAGTGGCTGTACTGGTGAAAAAACACCTGAAGGTAAAAGAGTTAATATTTGAAAACCCTCGAGATATTGACATAATGGCAATGCAGGTCTGGAATCAGGATGATAACCTGATAATTGTAAATACCTACAGCCCACCAGCAAGCAACACGTGGACAAAGGAAGAACTGGATGACAAACGAGAGGGCCTCATAATGGTCATGAGAGATATTATTGTACAAGCAGATAAAGATAAATCACGACTGTTGATACTGGGGGACTTCAACTTTAGAGCAATAGACTGGGAGGCCTATGAAGCAAGAACGGAGGACTTTTGGACATGCAGATTTGTGAACCTCATTCTGGAGACATTCTTGTATCAACACATAAAGCAAGCCACAAGAATGAGGGAAGGAGATGTACCGTCAGTACTGGATCTAGTATTCACCAGGAAAGAAGAAGAGATTTTTGACATCCAGTACCTTCCTCCCTTGGGAAAGAGTGATCACGTCCTGTTAGACATTAAATATGCTTTAAGATATCATCTAGAAGAAAATGGGGACATTGAAACAGTTGATAAACTCGATTTAAAGAGAGGCAACTATGGGGAACTTCGAAATTTTTTTAATGAGTGTAATTGGACAGAATTGTTGGTAGGCAGGGAAGTAAATGAAATGTATGCCAAATTTTTAAAACTATACGAGGAAGGCACACAAACATTCATACCAAAACAGAGATGCAGGACCAGAAAACAGGATTGGTTCGACAGAAATTGTGAGAGGGCAAGAGACCAAAAGACACAAAAATGGAATCAGTATAGGAAGAGGCCAAACCCCCAAACATACCAGCGATACAAAGATGCGAGAAACAACTATACAGCAGTAAGGAGAGAGGCAGAAAGAAATTTTGAAAAAGGGATAGCAGATAAATGTAAAACAGAACCGGGCCTATTCTACAAATTCATAAACAACAAATTGCAGGTAAAGGATAATATCCAGAGGTTGAAAATGGGAAACAGATTCACAGAAAATGAAAAGGAAATGTGTGAAACATTAAATGAAAAGTTCCAAAGTGTGTTTGTACAAAATGAAATCTTCAGAGAACCAGACACAATAAGAATTCCAGAGAACAACATAGAGCGGATAGAGGTGTCTAGAGATGAAGTGGAAAATATGCTAAAGGAGCTCGGGAGGAACAAAGCAGCTGGCCCAGATGGCGTTTCACCATGGGTTCTGAGAGAATGTGCATCTGAGCTCAGCATTCCACTTCACCTGATCTTTCAGGCATCCCTGGGTACAGGAATCGTAGCAGACGTGTGGAAACAGGCTAACATAGTTCCAATCTACAAAAGTGGCAGCAGGGAAGACCCCCTCAATTATAGACCTGTATCATTGACAAGTGTAATAGTGAAAGTATTGGAAAAGCTAATCAAAACTAAATGGGTAGAACACCTGGAGAGAAATGATATAATATCAGACAGACAGTATGGTTTTCGATCAGGAAGATCCTGTGTATCGAATTTACTCAGTTTCTATGATCGGGCCACAGAGATATTACAGGAAAGAGATGGCTGGGTTGACTGCATCTATCTGGACCTAAAAAAGGCTTTCGACAGAGTTCCACATAAGAGGTTGTTCTGGAAACTGGAAAATATTGGAGGGGTGACAGGTAAGCTTCTATCATGGATGAAAAATTTTCTGACTGATAGAAAAATGAGGGCAGTAATCAGAGGCAATGTATCGGAATGGAGAAATGTCACAAGTGGAGTACCACAGGGTTCAGTTCTTGCACCAGTGATGTTTATTGTGTACATAAATGATCTACCAGTTGGTATACAGAATTATATGAACATATTTGCTGATGATGCTAAGATAATAGGAAGGATAAGAAATTTAGATGATTGTCATGCCCTTCAAGAAGACCTGGACAAAATAAGTATATGGAGCACCACCTGGCAAATGGAATTTAATGTTAATAAATGTCATGTTATGGAATGTGGAATAGGAGAACATAGACCCCACACAACCTATATATTATGTGAGAAATCTTTAAAGAATTCTGATAAAGAAAAAGATCTAGGGGTAGTTCTAGATAGAAAACTATCACCTGAGGACCACATAAAGAATATTGTGCAAGGAGCCTATGCGATGCTTTCTAACTTCAGAATTGCATTTAAATACATGGATGGCGATATACTAAAGAAATTGTTCATGACTTTTGTTAGGCCAAAGCTAGAATATGCAGTTGTTGTGTGGTGCCCATATCTTAAGAAGCACATCAACAAGCTGGAAAAGGTGCAAAGACATGCTACGAAGTGGCTCCCAGAACTGAAGGGCAAGAGCTACGAGGAGAGGTTGGAAGCATTAAACATGCTAAAACTAGAAGACAGAAGAAAAAGAGGTGATATGATCACTACGTACAAAATAGTAACAGGAATTGATAAAATCGACAGGGAAGGATTCCTGAGACCTGGCACTTCAAGAACAAGAGGTCATAGATTTAAACTAGCTAAACACAGATGCCGAAGAAATATAAGAAAATTCACCTTCGCAAATAGAGTGGTAGACGGTTGGAACAAGTTAAGTGAGAAGGTGGTGGAGGCCAAGACCGTCAGTAGTTTCAAAGCGTTATATGACAAAGAGTGCTGGGAAGACGGGACACCACGAGCGTAGCTCTCATCCTGTAACTACACTTAGGTAATTACACTTAGGTAATTACACACACACACACACACATACAGTATAAAAAAAGTCAGGAAGGTCCCAAGACCCCATCAGCCTAGGCGAGGGCCACCTCAAGCAAGTAAGACCTTTAAGGGAGCGACTACTGAACACTTCCCTTGCATTGAGAGGGAAGATAACCTTCGCAATGCAAGGGCAATGCATGGGAGCACACACAAGGAAGATAGCCCTGTGCACATGCAGCTCCATGCTCTCTCAAAACTTGGCACATGCACATTGCAGTACACAGGAAATGCTACTCAGGGCAAACACTACCACTTAGCTGAACAAACAGAACACTAGAACCAGCATGGATGAGAGGTGATTTTGTACACAGTACATCAGCTGTAAAACTGATGCTGAGATGCCGTCTGGCAATGAGCTTCCTCCACTCCCCTGCCCCTCCCACCGTCGCCCCCAAATGAGTGGGGAAGGTGGGGGAAATAAGCTCACAAAGGTTCCGAGAGACTTCGATCGTTTATTTACATAGAAGGGGGAGTCTAGGCAGGTTTTGAGGTGTCGGTCTTCTTGAAGCCAGCAATGGTTTGTTTTGACACTGAGTTTCTGGTTGCCTTCCCTGCATAGGTGGCAAAAATAACTGTCACTGCTCCCTGCACATCTTTTAGAGCCAGGTTCTAGCACTGGTCCCTGGTACGCCTATAGAACTCGACGGCTTATGTGACCTAGTAGGTGCTTCCATCTCGGTATAGCACATTTGTTCAGGGAACCCTAGGGACTACCCCTGAAAAAACTGCTTTCAAAATGGTTTTCTCAACGATAACCCACCATTCCTCCCTGCAGCTCCGACTGGCTGCACTTAACCAGCCATACAGTGGAGATATGCATGGGGTCAGGGGTGCTGACTATGCCTGCTACAGACAGGCACGAAGAGCAGGACTTAAGGGCACCTTCAGAGCCTTCCTCACCTCCAGGGTACAAAATCTGGACTCGATTGTTAGATACTCTGACCGGGACCTTCCCGTTGTAAATATTAAGGTGAGTTAGAATTATTACTTAAAAATATCAAAATGAATGAGAATTATTGTAAATATTAAAGTGATTTGGATCATTCTCTTAAAAAAAATAATTTTAGCTGGATCTTTTTATCAACAATAGTTAAGATGAATAGAATTAGTTTACATTTGCATTCAGGCAAATAGTAACTTTTTTCCTCTTCAAATTTTAAATGGAACTTTTATTCTTTAAATATAAAGGTAAATGGTACTGTGCTTTGTTATTGCTAATAATTAAAGTGAAAAGATATTTAAAATTTACAGGAGGTACAAATGTAATATTGAAGTACAGTAGATGTAATAAAATGTGTACAAATACTGTATATTGAGATGTTTATATTGAAGAGTTAAATGTACACATGTATGCTTACCACAAGGCAATAAACTATTGTTGTGCTCTGATAGGGTGAGGTTCTGTTCAACACGTGGCGTGGCATATTCTCGGGCTCTGGGGGCATCTTTTCCCAGAAGCCTCGTGTGTTCAGCTTTGATGGAAAAGATGTACTTGCCAGTGCTATTTGGTAAGATATCATGTCTTTTTGTATTTGGTAATATATCATGTATTTTTGTATTTGGTAAAATATGTCTTGTACTGTACAGTATTTGGTAAAATATGTCTTGTACTGTACAGTATTTGGTAAAATATGTCTTGTACTGTACAGTATTTGGTAAAATATCATATTTCTTCTTTTCAGATTTTCATTTATTAAAAAAAAATATAGCTTTATTATGGTTGCCTAAATATATTATTTGCAAATATATTTTTTATTGCTGCACTTTTAGCTAAATTAGCTAAATTTTCTGAAAAATTTAATTAAGGCTACTAATTGTCACTTTATTTAATAGCACATAGTCCCTAAAGTGTGGTTATAATCAAAGTGACCTCTCTGCCCTTTCAGACAAAAATAGAAACAATTTTTTCTTATAAATTGATATACTGAAATTATATGCAAGAATTTTGTTTGTGTGTGTATCGTGCACATTTGGAGAGTTATGGGTGAGGGTGTTATTTGGTCCGTGTAGTGTAGCTTGTAATATTGCTGACAAGCCAAGTGAAGGAATGATCTATGATTATCATGTTAAGAGGGTGTATATGTTTATTGTTAACTTTAGTTCACACAAGGCATTAAATAACTTTTATTTGTTTACACATAATTAACAAAAACAATAATCGCATACTGTATAGTATATATAGGCCTGCAATGTTACATGTACACATATATTGCATGTAAATCAGATTATGTGCTATTATTATCTTGCACAGGTCAAAGGAATTGTCTGGCAACCCACTCATTTGTTGCTATTCTGTCTGGTAATTTTGTCCAGAAATAGAGGTGAACACTGGCGTCATACACCAAATTTGTAATGTGATGATAATCGATTGCTTATGGTACAAGATAACTTCATCAATAGTGACCAAATAAAAACGTTAGTTCATGGGTCTAGGTAACTCCATCATATCCATGTACAGCAGATGTATTATTGCCATATTTACATCATTTATATATAAGCTAGATGATGATAAATAAAATCAACATGTGATGTCTGAATTACCCAGAGGATTAACATATGATGCTAACTGCATTTTAAGAGTCAAGAGTATAGTTAGAGTGTATACAGTATTGTGTACAGTACTGTATTGCACAAGGTTATCATCTTTCATTTAGTAGAAAAACATTCCAGCCATATCAGACTCAAGTTAAAATGTTTCTTCTAGGCCTCAAAAGTATGTGTGGCATGGGTCTGATCTGCTGGGAGAACGAGCACTCTCATCCTACTGTGATGCGTGGAACAGTGCATCCCAGGACGTGATAGGTCTTGCGTCTTCCCTTCTGAAGAACCGCCTGCTGGCTCAGGAGCGGCTTGGTTGTCATAACTCTTTCATTGTTTTGTGCATTGAGGCCACAAGTCAGGCACGCTTCCGAAGGAAACGCCATGCAGGTACCCTCGAGCCGGAGTTGACTGAAGATGAGTACCACGAACATCTCAAATCATTGGACTTGATTGAGGAAGAGGTTTAGAAAAATGTGTGTGTGCCATATAAAAGTTAATAATGTAAAGTTAACAAACATTGGAGAAAGTATCCTCAGAAGGAGACACATCCTTGAAGAGTACGAGTCATATATTTATTAATTTAAAAGACTGGGGCGTTTGCCACTACTTACACAAATACTGTAGTGGTGGCACTAATACTCCTTTACATAAAAAGTCTGTAATATTTAAGCATTCAAACACTAATATTTTTGGGAATGAGAGGTTTATATGATGCCTTTGCTCAAAGAACACAATTTACAATCATGTATTTTCTGTAGATATTTCTCACACCTGTTTTTACTCTACAGCATATTATGTGCAAGTAACAAGCTTGCATTATATGTATTGTCTTCTTGTACTAGTGTGATAAACAAATTGTTTAGAGGATGAGAGTGCTGAAACACAAAAAATATATTTGTAATTGACAGATAATCAGGTGCTGATAGAACTCTAACACAGTGAGATTTTATTAATGAAAAAATAATGCAAATGTACATTTCACGAGTGTTGCATTAAGGAACTCAAAACTGTTCAGAAAATCATGTGAAAGTTTGAGAATCAGAAAAGGAGTAGAACATGAGGGACCACAATATCCTACAACTCACGTCGAGGGTTTGGTGTCTAATGTGCCCGAAGACAATAAACAATCTTGTTCAGGCAGTAAAAATAAATCACATTTGCAAGAAAATACTGAATGTCTCATATTTTTTGTTTTTAATGCATATAACCACTTACTTAGGTAATGGCTGTCATTTCTAAGCAAGTGTAATGTTTTTGTTATTATCTTGCTCCTGGTGATGTTCATTTGTAATGTATGTTTGAATATGGTATTCCTCTTCAATGAATCTCAGAAATAGAGCAACATGATGTGCTTTGTGAGACTTTAGATAGAAGGAATCACAAGTAGTAGCAGCATGAGCTGTCACAGGGGGTAGGGAACCATTTTAAGGCATTCTATTTTTCCATGATATTACAATCTCACAACGGCAGAAATAACAGTGTCAAAAGAGCTACATACCGTATATACTCTCTGAGCCTTAAGTGGAATGAGCAAATATGTATGGTTGCATTGCTTCACAGAATGCTACAAAGCTTTTTTAGATATTAAAAAAGAATAATTTTTTATCTTTTCTGAGCTTATAGTATACAGGTAGCCCTCAATTTGCAGGAAATTAAGTACTGTATAATCAAATATATTTATATATAACAAAAGAATGAAGGATGTGTCAGAACCCAACTTACTGCAGTGGATGTGTAAGAGCCAGATATTCGTACAATTATTCACATTAATCAGTTGTCAACCCCATGTAACTCTGCACTTTGAATTTTTATATAAAAGTGATTGCCCACATTCTTCTAAATTAGCATTAGCCAATATCAAGCAAATTGTGGGTTACCTGTACAGTGATTAAAAACATTTTATACATTACCTAGCTGGAACAAGGTTTAATATCTAGATGATTCAATGCCGATATCTTATAAAAAATTTAATACAATATTGGCAATCTATTATGGTTTATTTACACTAGACTTTAGCTCAATTTCAATTTATTGGGAAATCCGGAAACAACATTGTTACTGACTTCTGGTGGTTGACTACAGATTTGCTGAAAATTGTCAGAAAAATTTGAGTGGAGCCTGCTTGTGTTCATTGAACAACACGTTCAGATACTAGTACAGTAAATACTATATACTGTAAACAAATACTGTACTATACTCAAAAAAAAAAAAGTCTATCTGGAGGTGATAGGGAAAACTATATAAACAGGTTCTACTTGTCTTTAGTACTGTACATCATATTAAGATCTTTAAAATAATATTTTGCTCAATATATACAGCTCTATATGCAGCCACAGAGTATGATAAAAAATTAAGGTATATATATATGTAAATAAATAAGAAAATTCATATATTTCAGTATTTTTTTTATATTCAAGATGTAGTGTTAAATGTTATTTATGTAAAAATATCAAAAAATGACATCATTTGTGGTAAGAATAGCCCAAAAAATTGGTGTGAAACAGCAACTAGAGCAAAAAATGACATGCTTCAAATGCATCAAAATTTAGGTTGCATTGGATCAACTTGTGACACCATAGTTACCTATTTTTTTTGACTGAGAGTCCACTGTGTGAATGTTCTGCAAAATATTTGCATATCAAGCAGAAACTAGGAAAACACATTTTTTTCTTTGGGGAATTTCACCCCTCCCCAGGATTAAATTCTCAAGGGACTGCGGGTGAAACTTGAACAAATGAGAAAATCTTTTGCATTTCTCCTCTGCCCCAGTGAACATATTTCACTAAGTTCTTCCAGTTAAGTGACTCATATCAAAAGGGAGAATTTGATTAAAGTCAGAAATGATGTTGTATTTGTGTCTGGTACTTGGACTATAGCATTATTTATTGACTGTCATTGCTATAAGTATTATGCATGTGTGTGTAATTAGCTAAGTGTAGTTACAGAATGAGAGCTACGCTCGTGGTGTCCCGTCTTCCCAGTACTCTTTGTCATATACTACCACTTTGAAATTACGGCCGTTTTGGCCTTCATCACCTTCTCACCTAACTTGTTCCAACCTCTACTACTCTGTTTGCGAAAGTGAATTTTCTTATATTTCTTCAGCAGCTTTGTTTAGTTAGTTTAAATCTATAATCTCTTGTTCTTGAAGTTCCAGATATCAGGAATTCTTCCCTATCAATTTTATCGATTCCCGTTACTATTTTGTATGTAATCATATCGTCTCCTTTTTTCTTTTATCTTCGAGTTTTGACATTTAATGCCTCTAACCTCTCCTCGTAGCTCTTGTCCTTCAGTTTTGGGAGCCATTTAGTTGCATGTCTTTGCATCTTTTCCAGTTTGTTGATGTACTTCTAAAGATATGGGCACCATACAACCGCTGCATATTCCAGCCTTGGTCTAACAAAAGTCATGAACACTTTCTTTAGTATTTTGCCATCCATGTATTTAAAAGCAATTCTGAAGTTAAAAAGTGTAGCATAGGCTCCTTGCATGATGTTCTTTATGTGGTCCTCGGGTGATAGTTTTCTCTTTCTTTCTCAGGTGATAGATCTCTTTCTTTATCAGAATTCTTTAAGGATTTCTCGCATACAGTAATTTATAAGTTGTGTGTTTTTGGGGGGGGGGAGGTCTATTTTCTCCTATTCCACATTTCATAACATGACATTTATTCGCATTAAATTCTGTTTGCCAACTGGTGCTCCATACACTGATTTTGTTCAGGTCTTCTTAAAGGGCATGACAATCACCTAAGTTTCTTATCTTCCCTATATATAGTGCTTGCCTTCCCTTGTGGGGGGGGGGAGGTGGTTGGGAAGCAGTTTGTATGTTAGCTTATCTAACTATTTTTGTTAGTGATGAGATCTAACTCTTAAATCCTCCGGTAGGTATTTGAGGTCAGCTTTACCTACTACTTCTGATCTCTAGTGCTTATTCATGTGTCTTTTTCGTATTTTAATTGTGACCTCTACTACATCTGTCTTGTAGAGTTGGCCCTCTACCACCTCTGACTTGTGTGCTACAGGAGTGCCTTTTTAATTCTCTCTGGCTCATATGTTTCAAATTGACACCTGTGCTATCTTGTTCTGTTTCCTCTCATTTGAAGTACATTGTCTGATTATGTCTTATCAATGCTCCCTCAGTAGCCCATCTTGTATGTTGTCATCATATCTCCTTTTGCTTCTCTCTTCTTCGGTGTGGATAGATTTAGCCCTGTTATCCTCTCATCATAACTCGGTTCTCTTATTGCTGGTATCAACCATGTGGCAAATTTCTAGACTCTAATGCCTTTTTGTACTTTATGTATCTCTTCATAAAAGCAATTTTTGCTTTTATTGCTAATAAATGTAACACACACACGCACACATACACACACAATTAGATGAGTACACATGCATACACACTTATAATGGTTTGTGTAAGCCACATTTGTGCAGCCTGTCCTTATGTCATACAAATAAAACATCGTATGTATGATACTGTGCAGTATTGTACATATTGAAATATATATATTACTGCTGATACCAAGGGTATATTGCAAATTCATTTTTTTATACAATAAAAGTTCATCCAACCACACTACCTAACATAACCTAGTCCATCAAACAAAACTGTAATTATGCTACAAGTACAATATCAGTCATATTGTTTACAAATGTTATACTCAATGTATAACAGTGTTCATAATCATACTTAGAAAAAAATATGCATCAGCATACATACTATAGTGTACGTATATCATGAGGGCTTGTTGCAATGTATGAATATGTATGTGTACGTGTGTGTGTGTATGCACCTCTCATCCTCGTCAATGAGTGTTTATATTCCTGAACCTTTAGAGGTCACAGTTATACTGTATCTATATTTGATTTCGTGTATGGAATCTACCTCCGTACTTAGTTCGTTCCATTAATTTACCAATCTAACACTAAGAACATTTTTGTAGCTCATTCATACGCTTAGTTTCCACTTGCTTTCCCATGTTTGTGTGTCTGTTATTTCAACTCTTCTCTCTCTCAAATACTGGAAATAAATTTCCAGTATTTGAGACAAATGCAGACAAATCTGCATTTGTCTCTCAATTCTCTTGAATATTATGAATGATGTAATCATGTCTCCATTGGTTATTTATCTTCCAGTTTTAATTCCTTTGGTATTTCCTCGTAACTTAGGCTTTTCAGTTCTGGAACTAGTCTGGTGACATGCTTCTAAATTTTTGACAGCTTTGTTTTATGTTTGATGGGATAAGACTCCATGCGGGTGTGTGTGTGTGTGTGTGTGTGTGTGTGTGTGTGTGTGTGTGTGTGTGTGTGTGTGTGTGTGTGTGTGTGTGTGTGTGTTTTTAATAATTTTGTTTCACAAGATATTGCAAGAGAAAAACGATAATTATACTGTAAGTGTTTGAAATTATATATTGAATGCAGATGTATTATGTCATGTTTATGCCTATTGTTGTAGCCGAGTGAATGATCGATTGCGAACACTCAGATATATCTCTGAAATAACTATTAAATATGCAAGCATACTAAGCATTATTCTTTTATATAACATTTACAGGCATTTATATCATCTACGTTGATAAATATTGTATTCTAGTCATTATAATATCAAGCTAATCTATTAAATAACTCATTGTGATTATATCTTCTGTGGCATAAGCACTGATGTCAAAATTTAATATCCTCCTTTTAATTTTGTAGTTAGATGTTCTTAAATCATTTTAACAGTTGAGAAAGAATATGATAGTGTATTGTGTGAAAATCTCCAGCAAAGAATACAATACAAGAATTCCCTTTGCAGCCCAGTTTTGGTGCTGGGTCTGTAAAGATTGTCATACTTTTTCCAATATTTCCAGAAATTTACTCTTTTACTAATGTGTATAGAATTCTGTATAATATATATATACTGTATATATATATATATATACAGTATTACACATATGTTATACTGTATAGTATATTTTCTAACCATGGGTGTAGAGGGCGAGCAATAGTTCTCGCACAATGTTCCTGGTGTCTCTCCTGCTGACCAGTGTGTATATTAAGGCTCCCAATGATGCTTATTTATTTGTCTGATTTTTGTGTACTGTAATTGGTACAATATCTAATGAATTGTGAAGTAGGATACAGCGATGTACATTACATTAAAAAAATATATATAATAATTATTAAACTTGAGAGTACAGTTGTAGTAAACGGTAATTTTGGCCTCGACTTAATGCTACTGTTAGGCATATATATTTTTTTTTTATAAAATGTTTGTTGTTTTGTGTTTAATGAACATTCGTCCTGTGTTTGGTCTCTTATTACTCCCTCGCGTTTGTGTGAGCATTTCTTATTACGTTTATTAATATATGGAGAGCTTCCTAGTACAGAAGTACCTGGTGTCAGTAAATGGTGAACAGATTCACTTTTGTCGGCACAGTCAACTTTTATGTAGTGTAGTATTATTTTCCTGTGTTAAATACAAATTTGCTATATAAAATGAATAACCGGTAAAGAAAACAATAGAGGTACATTCCCAGACATGACAATTTTACATTACGGGAATAATTAAAATTAAAATAGTGTGCATACAAGTTAGGGTGAGAATGGGTGTGGCAGTTGGTATGGGTGTGGGGTGAGAATGGGTACGGGTGGTTGTTTTTATGTTATTTTTATATATGTTTTTATATATTTTTACCGTTTATATTTACAGAGATACAGAGAGAGAGAGAGAGAGATGGTAGTAATCAGAGGCAACGTCTGGAGAAATGTCACGAGTGGAGTGCCACAAGGTTCAGTTCTTGCACCGGTAATGTTCATTGTCTACATGAACAATCTACCAGATGGAATACAGAATTATATGAACATGTTTGCTGATGATGCTAAG